CATGTTATCCCATCGGAGAGAGTCCTGCAATAATAAATTTAGCAGCACAATAAGTTAAACTTTATGTTATGTAAGTCTCAAAAAAGCATTACCAATTAGATTCTTCAGTCCACCACTCTCGACCTTTCAAAAATTAATCACCATGATGATCAACCTTCCTGAATCGCTTTTAAGGAAGAAACTTTTCGTAATTCCTGTTGCTCTTCCAAGAAAAAATCTCTTTTAAGACCTGCAAAATATACATATAAAAACCTTGGTTAGAACAACAATCTCTTTTTACGAGATATGAAAGTAGCATGCAATTTTTCTTATCAAATGCCTTGACTCAGGCTAAAAGACATCATCATGTCTGCATGTCACCACCTTGACAGCATCTTGGTTTACATGACCATCTTGAATTCTCCCAAATGAATTGGTTGAATCCCTTTCCTCACTCATAAGCTTGTGTGCTCAAGGAACATAATTCTTTATTTATATATGCTCGCCACCGTAACCATTTTTCAACCCCCTTCATAAGCATCCAGTTACTTATAAATCAACCCCTTTCTCCAGTAGTTATTATGCAACACCATCAAACCTTTTCTCATTCTTAAACTTCACTTCGCTTACTACTAATTTTTACCAAGTCAAGGCATTTGTATAAATGAACACATGACATAGTTCCAATCATGCACCCCCATTTATTCATTAAAAAACCTCCCCATGAGTATTCTGAACCAAGACATTTGATAACAGACATACATGTCCCTATATGCAACACCACTCGTAAACTTCAAATGAGCTTAAGATGAGGTTTTTACTTAGCCGAACCTGAGGCATGTAGAATTTTCGAAACCTAGTTGGTTAAACCACCATCCACCCTTGTTTCTTTCCATTAATAAGCTTGACAATATGGACTTTTTAAACCAAAAAGACGCATTTTTGTAGACATTTGGAACAGAGTACCATATATCTTTTTCCCATTCGGTGGCTCTTGATGAGCTGAGGCAATTGTATAAACTTTTCGGGACCAATTATCATGCATCACCATCAACACTTTCCCATTCATATATAAGCTCATGAAAAACTTGTACTGTGTTGTTATAACTAAGTTTGCCACCTTTTGCAGACAAATTGGGACAAAGTCAAAGTGTTGTCATGCAACAACATCAACCGGTTGGTTTGTAATGCGTTTTAACCGATGCACTTGAATAGACAGTCCGGAGGCAAGTTTCACGCACTACATCAGTTCCTGTTCATAAGTTTGATATAATAAGCTTACAATGGGTTTTTCTAACCGATAACATTTCTATAGTCAATCCGGGCCTAGTCTCTCGTGAACCATACTCTTTCCCATTTATAAACTTACAACAGGGTTGTAACCGAGGCTCTTTTATATACAATCTGGAACCAAGTATTATTATGTACCACACTCTTTCTCATTCCCAAGCTTATTACGATTAGCTTTCCAATGGGTTTTAACTAAGACATATTCCCTACCACTCATAAACCTGAAAGGAGCTTATAAAGAGTTCGGTACTAAGTTTCCTGCACCACCAATTTACCCTTTTTCATTAATAAGCTTGACAATGTGGATTCGTTAACCGAACAGAGGCATTTTTTATAGACACTTAGAACAGAGTTTCATGCATCCTTTTCTCATTCATTAGATATTTGTCTTCTTGATGAGCTGAGGCAATTTAAAAAAAAAAAACATTATGGGTCAAAATATCATGCCTTCCCATCTAGACTTTCCCATTCATAAGCTCATCATGAACTTATATTGTGTGTTTTAAAATTGAGTCGTCACTTTTGTATAGACAAAGTGTTATGTAGCAGTATCAACCGATTGGCTTATCATGCGTTGTTTTAAGTTTTAACCGAAGCATTTGCATAGACAATCCGGAAGCAAGTTTCACGGACCACACTAGTTCATGTTCATAAGCTTCATATGATTAGCTTACCCTGGGGCTTTAAGAGGCATTGTATTGACAAGTATATCATGCACCACACTCTTTCACATTCCCAAGTTTATCAAGATGAGCTTTCAATGGGCTTTTAACTCTGAGGCATTTGACTGGAGAATCATGCACTATACTCTTTTTCATTTATACAAGCTTATTAGAATTTAGCTTCCACTGTGGTGTTTTTAACCAAGGAAATGGTTAGAACAATATATATGGGACTAGAACCAAGTATCATGCACCACACTCTTTCACAAGAAGCTTATAGTGAGTTTTTAACCGAGGCATTTATATGGACAAACCAGGGAACAATTATCATGCACCACACTCTTTCACATTCTCAAGTTCCTGCATACATGTACTTCCATTTGTTACCATCATGACCAACTCGTATCCTTCTTTTTTTTCTTTTATGGTTTCAGTCACTCATCTACTGAGTTTTTACTTTTTAATTATTATGGAAGACTGGAGCGAGAGATTTGTAAAGCCGATTCCAGACCAAATAGCATGCGCCACCACCAAAATTTCTCTCCGTTTATAACCGACCTAAGGCTTTAGTTTTAAACTGATCTGGTTATTAACCAAGGTAATATATAGAACAATATGGGACTCGGCACAAGTATCATGCACCACACTCTAACCTCCAATCATAAGCTTATGATGGGTTATTGTAAACCGAGACATCTGATTAGAATATTACCGAACATAGGCATATTTTATAGACATTAGGAACAGAGTATCATGCATTGCTCCCATTCATTAGATCCTTGTCTTCTTGATAAGTTGAGGCAATTGTTTAAATATTTTATGAACAGATAATCCTTGTTTTATAGACACTAGGAACAGAGTATCATGCATCTTTTTCCCATTCATTAGGTCCTTGTTTTCTTGATGACCTGAGGTAATTGTTTAATATTTTTTGGACCAAATATCATGCATCACCATCTACACTTTCCCATTCATAAGCTCTTGATGAACTTATATTGAATGTTTTAATTGAGTCGTAACTTTTGTATCGACAAAGTGTTATGCAGCAATATCAATCGGGGCATTAAGAGGCATTTGTATTGGCAGGTATATCATGCACCTATCATGCACCATACTCTTTTTCCATTTATGAGCGTATGCCTATTGAAATAACTTGCAGTCTGGTTTTTAATCAAGGAGATTTTTGAACAATCTGGGACTAAGACCAAATATCAGGCACCACACTCTGTCCAAATCATACGCTTATTATGATCAGCTTATTATGGGGTTTTAGTTGAGGCATCTGTATATATCATGCACCACACTCCTTCCCATTCCCAAGCTTATTAAGATTAGCTTCCAATGGGGTTTCAAGTTTTAACCAAGGCATTTGAAAAGGGAATCCAGGACCCTGTATAGTAATCATGCACCTCACTCTTTGTCATTAACCAACCTTAGTAGAATTTAGCTTTCACTGTGGTTTTTAACCAAGGAAATTGTTAAGAACAATATGGGACTAGGACCAAGTATCATGCACCACACTCTTAATCAGATACCATGTATCATGCACCACACTCTTTCACACAAATCTTATAATGGGTTTTTAGCTGAGGCATTTATATGGACAGTTCAGGGACTTGTGTTTTCATAAAAACTTCAAAGACTTGTGTTTTTTCCCTCAAAATAAGTATCATGCACCATAGGCTTCACAATAAGCTTATAATGGGTTTTTAGCCGAGGCATTTATATGGACAATTCAGGGACCAAGTATCATGCACCACACTCTTTCACATTCTCAAGTTTCCCATCTTAATTAAGGCAATCAAGTAGAGAATCAGGGACCAAGCTATCATGAACCACAGTATTTTCCAGACAATAAGCTTACACTTTGATAAGCTAGAATGGGATTTTATAAAAAGTTGGGACCAATTGTCATGGAAGACTCAAGATTGGGATCTGTTATAAACGATTCCGGACCATATAGCATGCACCACCACCAAAAGAAAATCCTTTATAGCCGAGCCAAGGCTTTACTTTTCAACCGATCTGGTTTTAAACCAAGACAATATATAGAACAGAATGGGACACGGACCATGTAATATGCACCACACTCTTAACCCCAATCATAAGAATGGAATATTAACCGAGGCATTTGAAATGAGATTTAGGGACCAATTATTACGCAACAACGGGACAAAGAGGGTTTTCGAATTAAACGATTCAGTCCCAAATTGTATGAATCCATCACCATTCTTTTATCTTCCCGAGCCGAGGCATTTGTATACCGATTTGGGACTGAATTCGATTAACACAAGCACCACCCCCATCTTATTTGTTAACGACCAACCCAAAATCGAAAACAAAAAAGACTACCGCAATATTATAACCAGCCAGGCCTTAATAATCCATCTGATCTGGTTTTAAACCAAGGCAATATGGGACCAAGTATCATGCACCACACTCTTAACCCCAAATCATAAGCTTATAGAACAGTACGGGACCAATTACGCAACAACGGGACAAGGAGGGTTTTTTGTATCAATCGAATCAGTCCCAAATCGTATGAATCCATCACCATTCTTTTTTTATTCCGAGCCGAGGCATTTGTGCAACGATTTGGGACTGAGTACAATTAACACCCAACACCACTTCCTTCCTTTGTTAAGGATTAAACCTAGATCGAAAACATAAAAGAGACGAACGAACCCTAAAGCAATTAGTATTTAACCGGCTACAAAAAAGGAAATAAAGTAAATCGCAGCCGGAGAGATTTGTAGGTCTCTGAAGAAAAGAGAAACAAGCTCTCTACACATGATATATATAGAGATTTGGAATAATGACCATCACCGCCTTAACGAAAAAAAATGGAAAATAGTTGAATTTTATGGGCCTCAGGCCCACAAGATAAAGGCTCGGCAGTCAAAATAGGTTAATTAAGATTTAAGGGAATGATTGAGCGGAGCCAATAAAAAAAAAGAGTGAAACAAGAAAAGGAAATAATAAAGAGACCGTTGTTGGATTAGCTTTAAAAGCAAGAAATATAGGCGTAACGTCCACACAGCAAAGCACAAACAACAATTCCAATTCTCTTCTTTATATCTCTTCGCTTTCTCCTCTACCCACTAAATTTATCATCTCTCATTCTCTCTCTCCCCACAATTCTCGCCAACAAAAACCAACAAACAAAACTCCATTCTCTCTATATAGACGAATCTCGGAATCTCCGGAGACAAATATTTTTTAAAAAATAATCAGAGAGAGAGACGAAGAAGAGAAGGATCGAAGGATTTATAATCTGGATCGAAGAAGATGTGTTGTGGACGGATTTGCATGCTGTGCACGTGTTTGCTTCTGGTGGTGATCGCGATTGGGTTTCTATTTGGGTTCGGCGTCTTCAAGGATGGATTTCACAAGATCCACGAATCTGTTCATCTCGACTGCGATCCCAGATTTGGTTGCGCCGGTGCTGTTGGACGTCGCGGTTACGGTTTCCCAGCCCCCCCTGCTCTTACCTAGCTAGCTCTACCTTCTCATTTGGTTTTTGAAAATTCCACATTTGGGTATAGCGATTCTTTAGGTTTTTTAAAAAAATTTCCATTGTTTTTTTTCTTAAGTTTCCCCAGTTTCTCACATTGATGTTTACTTGTGCATTCGAATGTTTCATAAAATTAGAGTTTTAGTTTTGACCTCCTTACTCATGATCATGATGATTCAATATTGTCTTTGTTTCGATTCTGTTCCACCCAAAAAAAAGAAAAAAAGAAAACGTAACGTATGTGATTCGTATTCATCATTATATTAAAAGTTTTCACCACAGCTTTTAAAGCAAAAAAAAAAGTTCAAACCATATAAAGAGAGCATAAAAAGGAAAATAATTTTTATTCTTATCTATAAGCAACAGTACAGATTCTCGATGACAATCAAAAAGTAATATTCTCGCTTCGTACGCCTTGACCTCTTTCCTAATTTTTTTACATATATTATAAGAAATTATCTAAAATAATCTTGAATATAGCTAATAAATCTCAAATCAGGCGATGACATTATAAATTGTCGGGGCTAAGCAAAAAAACAAAATAGTGTAGGTTAATTAGTAGAGTAACCCATAAAAAGCAAACCAGGGGTAGTTCCGGGACTTAAACAATCGTGACATTATTAGAGCCACTTGGTCAGGTAGCGGGTTCGGGTTAACTTACCGTATAATTTTGGCTTCTCCCATAAGACAGAGTAAAACCACAAGTAAAGCAATCTCCGGGAGTCACAGAGTTTCTGATTTGACCAAAACAAGTAAAAAGAGGAGACCGAGAGATACCCAAAAACAGACGACGATTACAAAGATGAGGATCACTGTGATGACCGCCGGCGAACAAATCATCACTCTTGATGTCGATTCTCATGAAACCGTAAGTCTTTTTTTCTCTTCTGAAAAACCCTAACTTTCCTGATTCATCGGGTTGTTGGTTTATCACAATGCACTTGTCAGATTGGTCGATGGAGGTTCTTGGGTTTCACTACTTTTTCTCGTTTCCGAAAGTTTTTTTTGATTTGCTTATTTGCTGATCCTTTAAGTATATTGTCCTGTAGGTTGAGAATGTTAAAGCCTTGCTCGAGGTTGAGGTAATAGTTCTTAGATCTCTTTTTTCGATTTGTATCTTGGAAATGTGTTGCTTGCTACTGAGAAAGATCAAAGATCGAAGCTTGAATTTTGCTGAAATCTCGGGTTTATGGGTTTTTACAACTTATGCTAATTTTGTATTCTTTTCTTGCATCATTGAGCAGTCCAATGTTCCGATTCAGCAGCAGCAGCTGTTGTATAATGGAAACGAGATGGGGAATTCCGATAAACTGAGTGCCTTGGGTGTTAAGGATGATGACTTATTGATGATGATGGTTTCCAATACCTCATCTGGGTACGGTTGATTTACCCTCTTGATTCTCCTTTTTTAAATCTTGGTATTGCTGTTTGTGAATATGGTACTTTTGTTTGTCTCATTTGCTTGCTTTCTCAGTGGTGCCGCCCCAACAACAGGGCCTAATTTGGCCATGAATCCTGATGGCTCAGCTTCGAACCCTGCAGCCTTTCAACAACACATTCGGGGTGATTCTAATCTAATGGGACAGCTATTTCAGGTATGTATTGATGATTACTTAGCTTAAAAGTATGATATTCTTCTTGGTTTTCGTTTTATGACTCTCTTTACTTGGCTTTTATATTCTGAATTGCAGACAGATCCCGAGCTTGCACAAGTAATTTCTGGAAGTGATTTAAATAAGTTACAAGACGTTTTACGTGCAAGGCATCGTCAGCGATCTGTTTTACAGCGTCAAAAGGAAGAGGAACTCGTAAGCTACTCAGTTTTTCCACTCATTAAGTTACATTTACCACAATCAAATAATTCTGCTTAAGTTCCCTCCTTGCAGGCCCTTCTCTATGCAGATCCTTTTGATGTTGAAGCACAGAAGAAAATCGAAGCTGCAATTCGACAGGTATGGTTCTTATTTACATTACATGTACTGAACTCTTGTATTCTACTTTAGTTGCAAATAACTCCTTTGTGATTCCTGAATGCAATCCTTCACTTTGGTTAGGTTCTTTTTTTCTACTAATTTGCTTGTTACCATTTTGTTTCATTTCTGAGTTTTGACATTTTGTGCTGTCTTGACACATTTGGGCAGAAAGGAATTGATGAGAACTGGGAAGCTGCCCTTGAACATAATCCTGAAGGTTTTGCTCGGGTGGTATGTATGCTTTTGTTTTAGTTTATGCTCTGAAACTACTAAACCATTTGATACACAGACTTGATTTATTTTGTTTTTTGTTTCTATCATTTCCTTAGATAATGCTGTATGTAGATATGGAGGTCAATGGCGTACCTTTGAAGGTAGAATTTGGCAACCAGATTATAACTTCTTTTCACCTTGCTATCTGTTTTCAAATTTTCCCAGTCTCTCAGTGCACTTAGAGATGTTATTGAGCACTCCTTAGATATTTTTTGTTGTTGTTATGATCCTATATTTTAATCCATCTCCAGGCATTTGTTGATAGTGGTGCACAGTCGACAATTATATCCAAGAGTTGTGCTGAGAGATGCGGGTAACTCAGTTTTTATTTCTTCTAGTACTTCTTTTAACGTAGAATGATGGAATAACTCACGATTCTCGTCAAATAATGTACTTACTTTTAGATTGCTGAGACTCATGGATCAACGCTATAAAGGTATTGCTCATGGTGTTGGCCAATCAGAGATATTGGGCCGCATTCATGTTGCTCCAATCAAGGTAAACACCTACAATCTTTTTCTTATAAGGTTTGCCCCTTTGTTTTTCTGTTTCATTATTCCTTGCATAAGAAATTAAAATCTCTAACAATGCAGATTGGGAATAACTTTTACCCATGTTCATTTGTGGTACTGGACTCACCTAATATGGAATTCCTGTTTGGCCTGGATATGCTGCGTAAGCATCAGGTAACATCTCCATCCTTTGACTTTGAGTTTATTGGATCTGTTTCAACCAAATGCAAACCGTTACTCTCTTTCTTTTTATGTGTAGTGCACTATAGATTTGAAGGAAAACGTCATGACTGTTGGGGGAGGAGAAGTGTCTGTTCCCTTTTTGCAAGGCTAGTTCTCTACTACCATCTCAATCTTGAAAATTATGATCCCTTTTATGTTCGTTATCTTTGTTTTTAATTGACCTGACCTGACAAAACCATACTTACTTCAGAGAAAGACATCCCTTCCCGATTTTTGGATGAAGAACGTGTTCCAAATGAAGCATCCGGCTCTGGAGCAACGGTAAGAACATTTGCATACTGTCTTCTTTATATTTGGTTTTGATAAACTATATATCAAAATATTTTTTTACGATCAACAACTTTTGGTCCCGTAGGTCCCTTCTGGGTTTACAGAGAAGAAGAATAACACGGTTGCAAACCCAACGAGCCAACAACCTAAAAGGCAGAACACATCAGAGGTCAAATCCGTGTTCAAAGTTTTAGTCTCACTTCTTTTGATTTCTTTTTGTCTCTATTAATCATTTCATCATGTAATCCATAGGGACCTGAATTTGAAGCAAAGATTGCAAAGCTTGTGGAGTTAGGGTTCTCCCGCGAAGCAGTGATTCAAGCTCTTAGATTGTTTGAAGGAAACGAAGAACAAGCCGCTGGATTTCTCTTTGGAGGCTGAGGATTAAACTAAAGTGGTCTTATATACCAACGACCAACAAATTGTGATTTAAAGAGACTCTTCACATTCTGCTTCCTTTTCTCATTTTTTTTTTTGTATTTTATAGATCTTCTTTACAAAACATAGGAAATGCAAAGACCATGTCTTAGTTACATCTTCAGATGTTTATGATGTCGAATAAGCAGACTTGGGGCTAACAGAAATGCAAATCAAGTGTTCGTATTTCTTTTACTCAAGGTTTACAGAAATTCAATGCAAGTGTTCTTATTTCTTTTTGTTAAAGTGTTCCGACTTGTATCCCATGAGAAATCGATACCATCTTAAAACGAGTCCAATAGCACATCATAGATTAAATAAAACTTTCATTCTACAACACAAATTTTTTAAAGAACACCAGAACATTCTCTTCAGCAAAATTTCATTACAAAGATCACTCGAACAAAATCAGATTTAATGTTCCAAAATTTTGCATTAAAACTATTCGTTTAATCTAGCAGAGACAGATCTGAGCTTCGAGTAAACTTTACCAGCTGGAGATCCCATTATAAGACTGCAAAGTGAACTCCTTGCGACTTTAATATTGGAGAAAGCTCCTAAGATATGAATCCTAGTGTCTGCAATCACAATCCTAGTCTTGGTCGAGTTCTCAATAGCAAACTTTGTCTTCCCTCCTTTCCCAGACAATCTCCCGATGGCCCGAGACAAATGCTCGCCTTTCAGAGTCTTGACATCCTTGATCTCAAAAGACTCAACATACAGCTCATCCATTCTCAGAAGAGAGATAGCATCAGGGATATCAAAACCCAGCATAAAAGCGTGTACAAAATCCGCAGCCTTCTGCAGATTACTGATGTCCGGAGTGTCAGCTCGGGTTTTAAGCTCGACTTTACGGGCTTTAAGATTCATCCTAATGTCAACCTTCATCTGATCATAGATGGGTGTGTAGATATCTAACCATGCTTTCTTGAGAGGAGAGTATCGGTTTGGAGGTACTGATATTTTCCTGAATTGAACTTTACCATCAGACATTTCATGAGCCTTCAAAGGCTTGAAGGTTGGTTTAGCCGGTAACGTCACAGTCTGTGCTGCTGTCTCAACTTCCATCTGAGTAGACTCTGCCATTTCTTCTATGAAAATTGTTACCTACAAGCTATGAATTAAACATCCATAAGAAACCAAACACGCTATCAAATCTTAACATCATTTGTTTCCTAAGAATCACTAGTTAATAATCAATCCAGGTCCCAGAAAATCTCATAACTCAAGCTATACCCCAACGGTTACCCCGGATAGAAAGTAAATTGAACACAACCCATATAGATAAAAACTCAAATCGTTACACACAAGTATCTCAAATTACAAAAACTCGAGAATATTATTATGCAAATAGAATCAATTGAGCTCGTAAGGAACTTTCAATAGAGAAATCGATTGAAAACTATGAATCTACTGAAAAAAATGATTGACATCGAAGAGTACCAGAAACTTTGATTGGGATCTGATGGCGGGAGGACGGGACAATTGAGGAGCTGCTGCAACAGAGATGAAGTTTTCTGTTTTATCAGAAGGGTTTTAAAGCTTAGGGTTTTATTCATGTCGCCGGACCTAAACGACATCGTTTGGGTAATTTCCATTTAAATTTACCCATTGGGTTTCTCAAGCCCATAATAGATTTCATAAACTTTGGCCCTTATATTTGTTGGGCGTGGCCTATTTACGCAAAAAGAACTAGTTGAGAATGGCTCACCATAATTATACTAGCATATTGAAAATATACACAAGCAGAGATCACATGTATTTGTGTAATGTTGTTTGAAACATTTTACCCTCTGCATAGTTCGTTGAAAATGATTTTAGGAATAATAGATGAGTGAATTTAAGAATATTCCCTAACAAGCTCTATATGTGTGTGTTACTAAAGATAGGTAAAGGTCACAAGTTATTACAAAACAAGGGTTCTGACTCATGATGAAGATCCAAACTTAGAAGTAATCTATTCATAGTAAACATCAATCAAACAAAAACTTTCGGTTTAGTTTAGTTCGTTTCACCAAACAAATTCAGGTCAACAAAAATTTCTGATTTTCTCTAGAGAACAATTCCAAGTTCTTAAATCTCGAGGATCAAGCAAATTATTCAATGACAATTATAAACCCGAGGCTAAGTCCGTGGGTTTTATCCATGCCTCATTTAAACCGATAAAGATTTCAAGAAACAACAAAACATATATACGAGAAATGTTTAATCAGTCCAGCTCTGTCTCGTTAATCTACGTAGTTGAAATCGCCAATACATCGCAAAACGTAGACGTCACTTGGTCTAAGACCATCTCTTCACATTCATTAACCATCAAAATCGAAAATCTCAAGGACGAACAACATAATCATCATAATCAACAACAAGTGAAGATAGATCTTTCAGGTTCTTCGTTTTGGGCTAAAAAGGGTCTCAAGAACTTAGAAGCTAACGGGACGAGGGTTGACGTATACTGGGATTTTCGTCAAGCCAAATTCTCCAACTTCCCTGAACCTTCCTCAGGCTTCTACGTATCCCTCGTATCCCATAATGCCGTTGTTTTAACGATTGGGGATTTAAAGAACGAAGCATTAAAGAGGACGAAGAAGAACCCTTCAGCCACAGAAGCTGCCTTGGTCTCTAAGCAAGAACACGTCCACGGGAAACGTGTTTTCTACACGCGCACGGCGTTTGGAGGTGGGGAGTCACGGCGGGAGAACGAGGTGGTGATTGAGACATCTCTCTCAGGTCCTAACGATCCAGAGATGTGGATCACGGTGGATGGTGTGCCGGCGATTAGGATAATGAATTTGAATTGGAGATTTAGAGGGAATGAGGTTGTGACGGTGAGTGATGGTGTTTCCGTGGAGATCTTTTGGGACGTTCATGACTGGTTGTTCGAAACCTCTGGCTCGTCTAGTGGTTTGTTCGTTTTCAAGCCTAAATCTGGATTCGAGTCTAGAAGTCTTAGCTTTAACGGTGGCTATGGTGATGGTGACGCTGATGTTGATGACCATGGTGATGTTGTGGAGGATGATGATGATTCGTCGCCCAAGTATTGCCATGTTCTCTATGCCGTCAAAGTTTGATTAACAATTTGCGGAAAATGAGTAATGATTTTTTTTTCTCTTTTTCTAAATATGATTTTCAGAATTTTAATGTCAACAACTAGAAGTTCTATGTATATGATTTTTTTTTTGTTGTTGTCAAGCTTAGTTTTGTTAGCTACGTAGTTGATTATTTAGCATGTCCTTAATACTACTGTATGTTTGTAACATTTTTCATATAGTGTAGTAGATTCTCATAATGGTCGTGTGGTTGTTGTCATGGACAAAGTCACAAACACATAAACACATGTGAGTTGGTCAGACTCATATGTAAATGCCGGCTATTTGTGTAATTGGTATGACTTTTTGCTAAAACAAGTTGAAACTTTGTATTAAACTATACTATATGTCTGATTTATTATCAGTAATTAGGTTAAATATCTCTTCTAGTTCAATATTAATAATGACGAGAGGGTAAATAAGTAAACACACAAATATTTATCACACATGCGCACGGTAGCAGCAAGGTGAGCCACGCGCACGGTAGCAGCTAGATGAGCCACGCGCACTCTAGCAGCTAAGAAACTTTGAATGTTGCAAAAATCTTGGAGCACACTAGGACGACGGTCTGGGAGATTACAATTCCTCAATTGTGGAGATGCTGAAACAAGGGTTTAGGTTATCGATTGGCATCCAACATCGCGTCTTCTTTATTCCATGGTGAGTTATTTTGTACTACAAAATCTCCGAAATGATGGAAAATTCCATTAATCTGATTCCTCGTTTAATTAGTCTAACAGCAATACAAGTTTTGCCTTCTGTGTTTCAACGTTTATGGGGTTTGAGAGAATTAAGAAATCATTAGGCTGTTTAGGACGTAGTTTTAATCCTATTCTGATAATTTTGTTAGGGTGAAGAAGAGTCACTCTGCGCCGAGAATCTTGTGCTCAGAGCAGCGGGAACACTATTCTTCTGGACTGGTTAAGTATGTTCCAAAGAAGTCTCGCAAGATTGGTGAAGATTTGACATCTCAGCCTTTTGTTGATAGTTCTGAGAAAGGTATACATGCTGGTGGATTGGATCATAATGTATTGGGATCTCTACTGAAGTGTAACAGTGAAGAGGCAACAGAGCGCACATTATCGGGTCTGAAGGATACACATGTTGCTGGAAGTTACATGAATGTTGTGTCTGGTGATGACTCTGATGAAGGTATTGTGAGTTTGGCCATGGGTATTATAAATGCTACTAGATTGGGATCATTGTGTATTGGATTTTAATATCCTGTTTCTTGGGGTTAGGATTTGGCTTCTAACCAAGCGTCATTGAGACCCACGTTTCTCTTATCCTTTTGCAGAGTTGGAAGAAAGCAGCAACGAAGTTACATCTAGAGGCTATAAGTCGACCAGACAACTCAAACAAGCTTATGATCAAGTCAGAATACATATGGAAGCTGAGCAGGCCAAGAGTAGCAAAGATGCCTGCAAAACCACGCAAGAGGCAGAGAATAGTGCTATTCGCTATCTCGGTTTAAGGTTTGCTTGCAACTTTCGATTTTGTGTAGCTTCAGTTTAAAATGATGCAGAATGGTTTATGTCTCCTCTTCTTCCTTCTTCGTTGTGTGTATTATTCCCTATCATCTTATTCTGCGTTTCTTCTTTGTACCAGAGCATATTCAGTAGCTGAGCTGAAGAAGAAGCTTATTGGAAAGAAATATCCTCTTGAAATTGTTGATAGCGTGATCAATGATTTTCAGATCCGGTAAGGCTTTTCTTAATTTTTGTTTTTGTTTCCAATCAGGATCCATATCATCATGTGTTTCTTTTCCTTGATACCTAGGTTGCTTTTGTTGTAACATTATCCCCTTAACCATTCATTAAAAATCTGAGTAAGAAAAATCTCTCTTTCAACGTTTTGTTTTTGTGTTTCAGAGGTTACATCAATGACAAATTGTATGCGGAGTCATTCTCTCGATCTAGATGGTCTTCTTTAAGCTGGGGACCAAGGCGGATCAAGCAAGTAATATTTACATTTACATTTCTTATGAGAATACAAATGTGGTCCAATCTTTTTCACTACTAAAGTGAAGTGAGTATATGACGTATGGATCAGGCATTGTTTAAGAAAGGCATAAGTAATGAAGACTCGGAGATGGCCATAAAGCTGGTTTTTGAGAAAGGCCAATGCAAGGAAGGAGATGAAGAAGAAGAACCAAAGCATGGGCTGTCCAAGGAAGCAGTGGATCAGCTTTTTGTTCAGGCATCAAAGCGGTGGCTCCAAGGCCGAGACTTGCCTATAGACACTCGAAAAGCTAGAGTCATCCGGTGGCTTCAATACAGGGGATTCAACTGGGGTGTGGTTTCCCAGCTTCTAAAGAGGTTAGAGTGTACTCATGAGTCGTGATCATAGTTTAATAAGTCCCCAGTCACGAGTGATGTCAAGATCTTTCCATGAATTAGTGTTAAATTCAGAGACTTCTAACTCAACAACAACCAGGTTTAAAATGTTACAACACGAACACCTCAAAATTTTGTAACTATATACACAACTGACCACACGATTTGTTGTCGTTGTATCCGAGAGCATACCTTCGTGTCGCATCGCATCCTTGGTAGAGTTGGTAATAACGAAGAACTAAGAAGTTTTGAGTTCGATCAACTTGAATACACATGGGTTATAATGGTTTTTCACAGTAATTTAAATTTTATTATAATCAATCAACATACATGGGCCAATATAAACAAAAGCCTCACAACTTTGATTTTTCGAGAATTAGTATAAGCCCACCATGAATTAAACTACAAGCAATGCAAAATAAAAACAAAAAACAAAAACGGCACAACGTTTTTGACAGTTAGGCGGCTATTTGGGAAGACGGCGTCGTTTTGATTCGGAATAGATGTTTTTAACCTTCGACGCGACACCAAAGCTATTTCTGTTTTTTTTTTTCCTTGTGTTGGGGGTTCTTTGGCTGAAACTAAAGGTTAGAGTCTGTAGAGAGAGTAAGAAATCTGATGGGGAAGAGAAAAGAGCGTCGTTTCGCCTCCATGAGTAGCACCGGCCGTCGTGTCAAGCTTGATCTCTTTGCGGAACCCTCTGGTATGCTTTTTTTGCTTCCTTCTTCGACACTTTTTTAAAATCGTTCTTCTTCGATTCGTTTTCTGCTTTTTTTAGTTCGATGAAATCTATTAGATTGATGGATTTGGGGATTCGTTCTCTTTTCTTAATTGAGGAAAGCTACTTGATGAATGCTTAGTACGTGGAGCTGATAAAAGATTTCTGATAATTTTTTCATAGATTTTTATAGGAATTTACGGATTTGCTTTTCTCGGCCTTTTTTTTAGTGTATGTTTTTGATATTTTGTAGGAGATTTGGGTGGCTCAGATATGCGTGATGGAGTTGAGCGGGAAAAAAGAGAGCCCAATGAGTTACCCAATTCACCTTCTTCTTCAGGTGGGTTCCATCAGCTATCTTCAAAATCCGCTATGTGTAGCCAAAGCTCATAAAGTGCTCGACATGTTAATGGCGTGCAAAATTGGGATAATTCTTATTTGTGTTCCGAACACATGTTATGTTGTTTGTCTTCTAGTGGTTGTGGTCTTGAGGACATCGTATGCCATCGGTTCAGGCCAAGACACATTGATTTTTTGAATGAGTTGCTCTATTTTGCAGCTTCAAGCGTTCTGGGGACTTTCTTCTGGAATTAGCTTCTAGCGGTTCGTATGTCTCTGGCTGTTTTGGCTTGCTACGCTTAACTGACGGCTTTGTCATTTATTGTGGCAGGTCGCTGAAACATCTTCCTGACGCTATTCTTGATCCTTTTTTACTTTATAATGCTACCTAAAATATCACCTAGCTATTCTTCTATCAGTTCATATAACTGACATCTAGGTATGTAGTTAGTACAGTTTCCGAATTTTGACGCTTTACTTTTCTTATTTTCAGGTCAGAAAACAGAAAACCCTTTGCTTTTACTTGGGCAGTATAGTGATGATGAGGTGGAAGAAGATGCTACTGCAGATAGTTCTTTAGCCAATAAAAATGAGCAGGTAACTTATATAAAACGGAGTAGTGAATTACTGATGATGTCTCTGTTAGTCTTGATGACTTTATTTATACCAGGTTGATGGATTACTTGAGGAAGGACCCAAAGATACAAATATCAATTCAGGTGCAGACACCACTATGCAGATGGCTGACCTGCAGACAGGGGAGGATCCTTCTTCACTTGATTTTCAAGCTGAAGGAGATAGTGGTTTTGTCACAGTGAATAACTCAACAATCTTGGATGGACTAAACAAGCAGACAGTTGCTTCAGTTCAAACATCTGGCAGCATGTCTTTGGAGCTCCATGCTCCCACAGGTGTTACTTCGCAGTGGAAGACGATTTTGCATGAGGAGAGCAATCAGTATTATTACTGGAATACAGAAACTGGGGAAACTTCGTGGGAAATTCCTGCAGTTTTGACTCAAACTGCCAGTGCGTATGGGACATGCTACAATGAGTCTGGACCCATGGTTACAGATGGGTCCACCTTGATATCTGGTGTTGAACCAAGCTATTTGCTACCCGCACAAAATAGTTTCACAGGAACTGACTGTTCGACGTTTTCAACTGTTGCTCTGGATGAGAGAAACAAAAGTGAAGATCTATATGTCAAAAGTTTAGGAACTGATGGTCAACTTGAATGTCGGATAGAACCTATTGTTAACATCCAACCATGTCAGGAGGACCTTGCAAGGACAGAAAATGCAGATCATGTGCATACTAATTTTGATAAAGAAGCGGTTACTGACCTCTCATCTCGCTTGTTGAGTCAGAGCGAAGGCTTACTGGAGAAGCTGAGGTCTCTGAAGAGGTAAGCTATTCTAGTTTGTGTCTTCTGAATTACATATGTTATATTGTTAGGTAAAGAGATCACAGCTCCTTATCTTCTTTAAAATATGATTAACTTTAATTTCTAAAATTTATAGGTCCCATGGAAACTTTCACAGCAATGAGCAGATATCAAAGTACATTCTAGAGGTTGAAGTCAGACATTCTGATGTTAAGGCGCTCATATTGGAAACCTCACCTTTACTTGCTTTTTGGCTTCACACTGAGAAACAACTTAAGCGTCTCGAAGACAGTATTAATGATGAGATTTACCAGCTCGCAAAATCTGCAGTAATGGATGAAATTGCAGAGACTAACAAAAGCCCTCCAAAAGAAAAGTTGGTAGCAGATGCTAATACAGAAAGTGAATCTGAGGACAGTGGTAGAGAAGGAGTGTTAGCTCAATCTGGAAAATCTCTTCATTTAGATGAATCAGCGGATGTGAGCGGCAATGGATCTCCTAAACACTCCCGAAGTCATCCAGCTGGGCAGTCTGATATTATTCCTTCAACTGAGAAGGCTGGCTCTCCAGATGTTGAAGATATTGACATGGATGTTGATATGGAGGTTGAAGAATCAGTTCCAGTGTCTTCTGTTCAAGTGATAGATGCTTCTGATGGTAAAATGTTCAGAACAGAGCCATCTAACCTTCAAACAGATGTTCCACCTCCTCCAGGTGAGGAATGGATTCCGCCACCGCCGTCTGAGAGTGAAGATGTTCCTCCACCGCCACCAGACAGTTATGGTGAACCAATTCCTCCACCACCTGAAAATGGCGATGTACCATCCTTTCCCAGTGACTCTCTGGGAGTACCCTACACCGTACCTCAATGTTATATGCAGCAATCTACTGATTATGCTACACAATACAACTTATCCTATCCAGGGCCCAATTATCAATATACTGCGAATGCTGTTGCTCCAGATTCTAACACTCAGTTCTATGGCCATGTTGACGGATCGCAGGTTTCTTTTCCCCAGTCGACATTTTACTATGAAACTGTTCCTGGGACAAGTGAAGTTACTCCTGCAGCAGCCAATGTCGGTGAAGCTTATTACAATTTGAATGGTGTAGCTCCGCTGTTTCCTGTCATTAGCTCCGTGCAGTCATCATTGCATCACAATGGAGTTGGTTCTGCTAATTACAACATCCCAAGCAATTCTTCTACAGTTGTAGTGCCTAGTTTGAGAACAAGTGACTCTGCTGGGATTGCATCTTCGGGAACTGCTTCTCAATCCACAGACGTTACAGGTGGATCGTCTCTATTAACAAGAGGTCAAACTAAAGGTATGATCATTCTTCATTGATCTCTAATCGTGGTTTAGTTTTTGATTATCATATCCATAGTTTGAGCATGCTCTGAGTTATTGCTTATAAGTCTTTGGCTTTGGTAACAGTGAAACGGACTAAAAAGCGGACAGTAGCTGCTACATCCACATTGAGGTCAAATAAAAAGGTTTCGAGTTTGGTTGACAAGGTATGTTATTTATTTTTGAATCTCTGTCACAAACAAACCCCTTTTCTAGATTATCTTAGATCTAAAACTTTAAGGTGTCTCCCCACTTGTGCTCAGTGGAAAGCTGCGAAAGAGGAGCTAAATGATAGTGAAGAAGAAGAAGATGATTACGGAATCCTAGATAGAAAAAGACAACGAGAAATCGAAGAATGGAAATCCCGACAAATTGCTAGTGGAGAGGCTAAAGACAACGCAAATTTCCAACCACTCATTGGTGACTGGTTAGTTACTCTGTGTAATGTCAAATCTAATTTATCTTGTCCTCGAGTAAAACATGAGTTAATGACTCAATGTGGTTGTATGATGTGATTAGGCGTGAGAAAGTGAAACGGAAGAAAGAACGAGCCGAGAAGAAGTCTCAGAAGAAAGACGAAGAGAAGCAGCAAAAACCTGATCTAAGCAAAATCTCAGCAAATCTCCCCTCTGGATGGCAGGTATTAAGCTTTCACCATTTTACTAGTGTTTTGTATTGTATATACAAACGCAGTCGCTAAAACATTTTCACCTGACTATCTCTCTGGCAGGCGTACTGGGACGAATCTACCAAAAAAGTGTACTATGGGAATACAAGCACATCTCAAACCAGTTGGACACGACCCACTACCTGAATCTCAATTGCTTTCTCGACCCAATTTTCACTATTTGATTCTGAGATGCCTTTGTTTTAGATTTTCCACTCTTTATCTTTTATGTAAATTTTATAACAGAGCTAGTGTTGTATGTGCGATATGGTCGATGCACCCTTCTTTCTATTTGAAAAGATCATTTGTACTATTTCCCAATGCTAACGTAATTATAATTTGTTCTCTTTTCAATTACCAAACCCAACTATTCTCTAAAAAGGTGACTTGTACACGTTGCTGTACAAATCCGACCTTGCCTATATGTGGGTTTTACTATTTATTCTCAAACATTTTCTTGGTTCTCCGTCATGGAAACAAAAATCACGATCACTTGACTTTATTTCATTTGTGCAAACAGCAAAGTGAATAACCAGAGATTTCTCTACTTATGCATATATTTGTTTTTTGGTATATACACAGACACAAACGAGGAATTTTGAAATACGATGAGAAGGAAAAAGCACATAAAATATCATCGATCTGATCACTTAGGAGAGGCAGAATTAGAGTCTCCACCCAACATGGAAAGGTTGGACGGAACGGAGATGCCACGTGACATTCCAAGTCCAGCGGTGCGACGGTGGTAACGGCACCTGAAGGAGCCAGGGTGTGTCGTTGGTGCGCATAAACAGTTTTGCCTCACGCTTGATGACTTGCTCATACCGATTGAACCACCTCCACCAGCAACACCACCACGTGCACGTGGAGACATGTTGTAAGCTTCTTGTCTTTTGATGTCCTCTTGGCTGATCTCTTCTGCCCCCTTAAGCTTGATCTTCATCATCATCATCCTCCTCTTTGCATCTTCCTCTTTCCCTTCCATTTCTTCTTCTTCTCTTTCTTCTTTGTTTCTCTACCTTTTTACGAATAGAGAAAACTCTAAAAATAGTCCGAATTGTGAAACTGGAGAACTTTTTTTTTTTTTTTTTTTTTAAGTTAGAAAAGAGACGTTAATGTAAAACAAATATATTTACCTAAAAATAGTAGTTTTCGTTTGTGTCCTTTCTTTACGGTTCTGAATGTCCGAGATTGTCGTTTTCTTTGCAGCAAAATCGTTATTTACTTAGAGATTTTGGAAAAAATCGTTTCTGCATTTCAAAAATAGAAAGAAATGAGTTCGGTCGGACTTGAGAAGATGGGGAAACCTCTACGTGACAAAAAAAAACTATATCAATTTTTTTTTCTCTTTTGTTTACCAAAAGTAGATTGAGATTAAAGATGTGTGTTATCAACTTTTCAGTATTTTGTCAAAACTTTCTAATGTATTGTAAAATCATATCCTTGTTGATTGTCGAGGAATCGACTCCTCGTTATAAAACCAATTTGATATTTTTTGCCATCTTTACTTTGTTTCATTCACAGTTTCACACTTTAACACCTTTGTACTTTATTATACGCGAGTGATATACTTTTAATGATTAAACTAAAATCTCAATCATGTTGATGATACATTTATATATAACAAAATCCACATTATCAGTACAACGAAACTCAAAACCAAACATATATGTGGCCCTTACCCAAATACTAAAGGAAACAAAAATTAAATGACCAATGCTTAATATATATATGATTTTCAAAAAAACATTAAAGTGAAATTTAAATCGTTTTAAAATACATACAATTACGAAATGTCACCATTTTGTAGCTATGACCTACGACGTACACATGCACTAGTTAGAATTAATCCATAATAACTGACTGCCCTCATACCTCTGCTCAGGACGGACACAAATCTCCAGAGACACCACATCAAGCATTTAACTTGAGCTATATAATATGAATGCGCATTTTTGCAGAGCAGCTTAAGCTAATTCGTATGATCGTGCAAACTAAGCTAAGCAAGTGAGTTAATCATCTAACAAGACTACCAAATGATAAATAGGCTTACTCTAAATCATTCTTATGGCAGTGACAAAACAAGCTCCAAACCCAAATATGCTAAAAGTCTACATAACACCATCTAAGTTTAGAGATAACACAACACTTAAATTAGACAAACACAAACTAAATGTCTAATAAAACTTTTTGATGATCTTCCTGTCCTTAGCAATCCTTCCTGATGTTGGCGCTACATGATAACTCTAGTTTCCTCTAGAATGCACCTAGAGTGATTGGAACAATCTAGAGAAATCTGTGAGAGAAGCTTCTATAGCGTCTACTGATTGGTATTACCTCGAACCTATCTTGCATACGGATGGTATCGACTACTGTTACTATAACCCCTCCCATATGGACCACCTGCTCCTTCATAACTGCCACCTGGGCCACCAGATTCATATGCACCACCGTAACCCGCCCCACCATATCCCCCATAGCCTTCCCCTCCCCCACGACCATATCCTCCACCATTATAACCTCCACTGCCATATCCCTCACCACCAAACCCACTCCCATAGGGTGCAAAACGACTAGAATAGCCAAGAGGTGGTTCACTCCGGTAAGCTCCTAAATTTCCACCCCCATAAGCACCATACCCTCCTCCAAATTCAGGGCCTACACCACCAGGTCCACCGCGACCATACCCATATCCCCCAGCAAACCTACTAGTAGGGCCTCCATGTGACCTAATGGGACCTGGAGGACCATACCCTCCATCAAAACCTCCGTACGGTCCACCATAACCGCCATAATTATCATTAAAAGAACGACCTCTAGGGTGACTACCATAAGAAGGAGGTGAACGGTTTGAAGATTTCTTTGGTTCAGCTTTCTTGATCTCCACCTACAACAAAGCAACTTAATTAACCTAGCTATGCTAAGGATGCAAACTATAGCAGGGCCTTCCTAGCTTACTGTGACAACCTCCTTACATTTGGTGGACGCTAACGGGTGGAAATCTGACTAGGTTTAACGTTATAACTTATCATGAAAGGAACAAGCAGAAAGATTCAAATTGAAACCAAGTTAAATATGTCTTCATGTACCACAATTCTAGGCACCATTTGTACAAGCTTACCTGAGTGTCTGCCATATCAATCATGTTTCCTTTGGACAATAATTCATCTACGACTTCTTCGCTGTCAAAAATTACAAAACCAAAACCTCTGGACCTGTTTGTTTCATGGTCTCGGATAATCTGGTGCTCCGCCACGTTCCCATACTTGGCAAAGAAATCCTTAAGATCATCTGAACAACAGAACATACAACTTTGTTAAGCACAGGGAACCAACATTCTCTCATGAGAAGTAAGAACTGCAAGATCTGCCAAGAGGGAGGTATACCTTCTGTGACAGTGGAGGGTATACCACCAACAAAAATCTTCTTAGTTTTGAAATCCTTTGACTGATTGCCACCAGCACCTTTCGGAATAGTCCTTTTGATCTCAACCTGTTCCATCAATACAAGGAAAAAGTAGTGATTAAGATCCAACAGAGGTACACTACTAAAAATCAATAACAATTTCTTTAATCCTTTGGTACTAGATCCTGCAGGAAACTCTTACTCCCACGAAAAAATGAAAACAAATCCATAACATTCATCAATGGTATAACATAAGTGTACGAAAAAAAAAAAAAAAAAGTTGTGTAATAGACCTGTTTCCCATTAATGACATGATTATCTTCAATGACTTTATCAACTACAGAAGGGTCAGCAAAGGTGATGAAACCGAAACCCCTAGGTTGCCCAGTATGCCGATCTCGCATAATGACAGAATCTGTAATCTCCCCGTACTTCCCAAAGTGCTTATTGAACACAGCTGCAGTAAACATCAACATGACTACATGAGTAAGGCTAATCAACATCCTAACACATCCAACATAAAGAAACAAAGACATAGACCAATCCCTACCACAAAAGAAACCTAGAAACTCGACTTATAAAACCAAAACAAGTATAAGATACTTACTATTAGTGGTGTCCTTGTGCAATCCTCCGATGAATATTTTCCTGTGACACAAAATTCCAAGCAACAACATAAGCTTCAATCAATATACAAAAAAAAAAAAAACGAAGTTTCCAAAGGCACAGATGAGGAGAGATTTTCCTAATTGGTTTCGTTCAACATCAGGATTGAAACATGCAAGAGGGATGAAGTAAACGTACCCTGGACTGGCACCATCGCCTGATTGGAAATTATCACTCCGAGATCTGGAACCCATTGCGATTCCTAATTCAGTCAGTAAATTATGCTTCGATTGAGAATCCTCCGACACCGAGCTCAAGGATCGAGCGAGAACGCTAGGGTTTTGATGATATATCGACAAGATCTGAGATATCCTAGTTCGTGTCTATATATATACATACACAAGTATTCTTATATTCGGACATCGACTCGCGGACACAAAAAGTCAAAGAAAAAAAAGAACACAAGTACTATAATTATCTATCTATTTTTCCTTAATCAAATAAGAAAAAGAAAGGAAAAAAAGAAAACAGGAATTGTTGACAGTGGGATTTGAACCCACGCCCTTTCGGACCAGAACCTTAATCTGGCGCCTTAGACCAACTCGGCCATATCAACTTTGATGTCGGTCTCTCTCTTTTCTTTATCCTTAAATTCAAACTATAAATTGATTTTCGAAGTAAATTGGGAAGTGAAAAAAAGAAATTGGGAATTAGTGACGTAAGCGTATAAAAATACGGTGAGAGAGAGAGAGAGAGACATTAAGCGGTAGTTTTATACGGAAACAAATACACTATATATCAAGTCTTTATGTTTCAAGTCCCTCTGCCTGACCCATTCCCATACACTCTCGTCTCTTTCTCTCTCCTCTCCCTTCGGCTTCTCTCTCTCTCTCTATACCAACATGACTAGCAGCAGCGGCGATGGCGGCTCTAGGGTTTCGATCCCGGCCGATCTGCTCAAAACCATTCAAAACATCAGAGAGGTTACCGGAAAACAACATTCCGACGAGGAGATCTTCTCTGTCTTCAAGGAGTGTTTTAATGATCCACATGAAACCACTCAGAAGCTCCTCTATTTGGGTAGTTTTTGCTTACAATGTTTCAGCATTTGTTTTTTTTTTTACTGTCTCTGCTCTCTTTTGTTTGTTTGTTTTTTGATTGAGAGAGTGCTTCTTCTAGGGTTTTGTTTGATCTTTGTTTTGTATGTAGCTCTTTAATGCCCTTTTGTCGATTTTTTGGTGTTTTTTGTTTTTTTTTTCTGTTTTAGAAGATTATGTGTTCTGTCTCTCAATCTGCGAGATTTCTATTTGGTATAGTATATGCCTGGGAATGGTCAAATAAGGAATCTTTTTTTACTGAAATGGAATATGCAGAATTTGGGTTCATGACTAGGAGGAAATCTCTCGTTTGAAATTGGCATATCTATCTTATTCACTGCTTAAATCTTTACCAGTTAAAGATGATGAAATCGTGTGGAAAGGGGATTTGTTTTTCTTAGCTCAGATTGAGATTTGAGCATCTGGGTTTTGGATTTTGTATATTGTTTCAAGATCAACATAATGACGTACATTGGTTTTTGTGGCACTTTAGTTGGTAACGGGCATGTACTCATATGTTAATGATTTTTCCAGATACATTTCATGAGGTGAGAAGCAAACGGGAGAGAAAGAAAGAGGTATGTTTCACCTCTTTGTATTTGTGAATCCATTCTTTTTGTTGAGGTGTTTGCCTTGGTTCTTCTGTTTAGTTCTTTTTAGAAGCATGATTTGTGAATTCACCTAGCAAACCTTATATTTCTGTGTATTCACGTCCTCTAGTAGCTTACATTATCTGGATTCTCTTATTCCTGTTGCAGAATTTAGTATCAAATACACAAGGAAGGAACCGGACTGGACGGAGGAACTTTGCTTCAGGTTATACAGGTCATTGTAGTTTATGTTCTTTTACTTCTAAGCTTCTGTATTATACTTCCTTCCTTGATTTAAGCTCTTTGTTGATTCGCAGATGCCAGCAATGGAAGAAATGCAGCTTTTAAAAAGCAGAGTGGAGCTAATCACATAATAAGAGGTTCCGGAACTGTTTCCTCTGCTCCTAACAATGCAACAAACGACACAAACCCTTCTTCCAAAAAGTATTCATACATATCCTGTCTATGTCTTTAATACCCTGTTTGTCTATGGGCTTCCTAAAGCATTGTATTCTCTTGCAGGTCCCCTAACCCCATAATTCCTTCAAGTGGAATCAGCAACCATAAAATTAAAGAGGCTTCCATCTCCCCTGTGAACAAGGGAGTCACAAAGGTTCAGCCTCTCTCCAAATCTACTTCTTCTTCTGAGGATGTTGTTGAGCCGGATAAGTCTAAAGCAAGTACTGTGCCAGTGGCTGTATCAGATTCTGTTGTAGATAACGACACTCAATATGCTGTAGATGAAACTTCTCAGATCTCACAGCAATCTTCTATGATTGTCTCTGTTAATTGCAGCAGCCAATCAGAGCAAGGTATACTTCTCTTTACCTATGTAGCATATGTGCATTCTGTATTCTTTAGATAAGTTGGGAATGATTCAAATTGCTTCCTGATTTCAGTTAGTACCTCTTATTTGATTTGACCTATGGCCTTATTTTGGAACAGTAGTTAAAAGTGAAGCTGCAGACAAGAATGGCAAGGATCAATCGCTTCTCACGTCAGGTGTTGGTGAACGGCCGCACGTAACATTACCTATCCACCTTCAGGTTGCCAAAATGCTGGAAAATGGACTAACATTTGGGAGTTTCGATTCCAATTTTGTGAAAGAGGCATCATCTGAGAACTGTACTATTGGGTGTGATGACTCCAATATTGAGTCTTCTCAGGGGACAACAGCCGATGGGGCGTCAGCTAGGTTGGTACTGATGAATAAATCTTACCGTGTTGCTTGTTGTATTTTCCTGAATTGTTTTATGTCTCAGATGAGTCACTTTCTGATATGACATCGAATTGGGGTGTTTCAATACCATTATTTGGTTTGCAGGAAAGACTTATCAACTATTTCTCAAGATAATGATCATGAGATTTCAAATTCAGCATCTGAGACTGAGCTATCATTGCAGTCAGATCAAACTGTTCACCTTGTAGAAGGTTTGGATGGAGATAAACCACTCACAGACACTCGTCAGGTTGGTTTATATTCAAGAATCCCCATACATTGGCACTTTTTTTTTTTTGTCATGTCCGTTTACCTGAGTATTTGCACACAAGCTTAATCAGTGTCTTTTATATTTTGTTGATAATTGCAGACAGCAAATTGTGATGCTCAACCTATCTCCTATCCTGATCAGTACTCCCTAGCAGCCTATCAACAGGCAATGCACCTTTTTAGGCAACAGTTCCCTCTAAACTTTTTTCCTTACGGTCCCTATCTTCCACCCTATTATATGCCGCAACCATACATTCACCAGTTTGTGAGCCCAAACGGGTACCAACAACAGTCTTACTTACCGCTTGGAGATGCTTCACCACCTTCTGGGGTTAAACTCCCTCTAACTCACATCAAGTCAGGAAGCAACATTGGAAACTATCCATCCACCACATTTCCATCCCCATATGATTCATACGCCTTCAACCACTTTCCATCAGTAGCCACTGTCGCCTCTACCAACAAGGAAGAAAAGAAGGAAAACATTTACACAACTGGACCGCTGGTTAGTTTGTCTCTGCCTCCTCCCTTCTTCATTGCATGTTATGATATACTTTTTTAACAGGGTTCAATGTATATATTGGCTGAGCAGAGTCTAGCCAATCTGCAGGCCAGTCCCATGTACAACTTACCCCTTCAAGGTCAACCATTACCTTTCCCGACCATGCAGGCTGGGTTTACGGGAATATATCAACCATCACAGCCCATTCTGGCGCCTTCTACTATACCTGCGAGGACTGAACCGATAGGACCCTCACACATAACTAATCAGCAACCTCAAGCTGCGCTAACAAATGTGGGGAACAACTACTAGGTCAAGGAGAGTTACTAGAAAGATGCATATTCAGATTGGTAAGAGATTTCAAGTCCGGATTTTTGAGTGATTTTGTGTACATACTTAGGATACATCATCCCCAAAGAAAGAATTAGTGTGTGGGCAATTTGACAAGGGGACAAGAGAACTGGTGCCTTTTGTTTTCGTATTTTTGTGAGAACCCCAAAACGTCCAAAGTATCTCGTTGATCTGTAATTTTTCACAATATAGACAAGTGATCGGTTTTATATGAAAGTGGAGCAATTTAATCTCATGCGTGGCCCAATGTCATATTCAGTAAGCAAAGCCAAGTCTATAGATTTTTACCTACCTCATCGGTAACGAAATTGATTTGATTTGATTTCATTTTCTCCTTGTGCAAGTCAGTCAACACATGCATAATCAAAGGAACTCAATTTTATTTGTACAAAAACATTGAAAGAATGTGGTCTACCAAACTAACACCCTGATAAACAGAGAGAAAAAGAGAACACAAAAAGCAAGAAAGTTTCAGGTTTGACACAGTTGATCCACACGCTTCTTCCGTTATATAACACAACCCTACATTCAGATCAATTTTCTTGTGATACAAGAATAAGAAAAACCATGGAAATCAGAAGAACAGCAGAAGAAGTTGAAGAGAATCATGTCATGCAGATTACAGGAAGCAATGGCATAGTTCACAACATGGAGTTCATGCCCCAAGCCTACCTCAGAAACCAATACTCATCTGAGATTGACATTGATGAAGAGTTCGTTTCCTCTTATCCTCTTGAAGATGCCCCTCTGCCCATCTTTCTCAAGGTTTCACTCTTTCTATCTTGCTTTCCATTTCCTTCTTCGAGACAAATCTCATTGTTTTCACCTCTTTTCTTAATATGCAGTTTGAAGATGTTGAATATAAGGTGAGAAACAGCCATGCTAGCTCAACAAACCTGGTGAAAACAATGGTGTCAAAGGTGGTAACACATACGAATCCGGATCAAGATGGGTACAAGCACATTTTAAAAGGCATAACGGGAAGCACGGGTCCTGGCGAAATCCTTGCGCTAATGGGTCCTTCAGGGAGTGGCAAAACAACTCTCTTGAAGATAATGGGAGGAAGATTGACAGATAATGTCAAGGGGAAGCTTACCTATAATGACATTCCTTACAGTCCATCAGTTAAGAGGAGGTTAGATAAAACCCTGAGTTGGATACTTCTCCTACCTGAATATCTTTATGCGCTCATATTTCACTATTCTCCAGAATTGGTTTCGTGACACAAGATGATGTTCTGTTGCCACAACTTACTGTGGAAGAGACCTTAGCGTTCGCTGCGTTTTTAAGACTCCCAAGTAGCATGAGCAAGGACCAGAAATACGCCAAAATAGAGATGATCATTAAAGAGCTCGGCCTTGAAAGGTACACTTGTTATATATGTCCAACTGGAATTAGATAGAATAATCCAAATAATGGTGAGATAGATCTCCGTAGACTTTGTGCTTGATGATGTCCAAACATATTTCTTGTAAACACTAAACTGAATATTTACTAAACACTAAAGATGCCGCCGCACAAGAGTTGGAGGAGGTTTTGTCAAAGGAATATCAGGTGGAGAAAGAAAAAGAGCGAGCATAGCATACGAGATTCTGGTAGATCCTTCTCTGTTGCTTCTGGACGAGCCAACTTCTGGACTTGACTCCACTTCTGCCACCAAACTCCTTCATATTCTGCAAGGAGTAGCTAAGGTATCAGCATTTCTTTTACATGCAAACTGATTTACTAGCAAAAAACAAGAAAGATACAGAAGAATTCATTTTTTTATTTATTTTGCAGGCAGGGAGGACGGTCATTACAACAATTCACCAACCATCAAGCAGAATGTTTCACATGTTCGACAAGCTCTTACTGATCTCAGAAGGCCACCCTGCCTTTTACGGCAAAGCCAGAGAATCTATGGAGTATTTCTCATCATTAAGAATCTTACCTGAAATTGCAATGAACCCAGCAGAGTTCTTGCTAGACTTGGCAACGGGACAAGTGTCAGACATTAGTTTACCAGAGGAACTATTGGCTGCCAAAACCGCACAACCTGATTCTGAGGAATTACTAGTGAAAGTAAGGATCACAATTCAAGTCACAGAATATATACTAATGTAATAGGAGTTACAATGGGACTCAATTCTAGTGTTGTGATTTTTCAGTACTTGCAACAAAGGTACAAGACAGACTTGGAGCCAAAAGAGAAGGAAGAAAACCATAGAAATAGAAAGGCCCCAGAGCATCTTCAAGTAGCAATCCAAGTGAAGAAGGACTGGACACTTTCATGGTGGGATCAGTTCTTGATTATATCCAGAAGAACATTCAGAGAGCGGCGTAGAGATTACTTTGATAAGCTAAGGCTAGTTCAATCACTTGGTGTGGCCGTTGTGTTGGGTCTTCTCTGGTGGAAATCAAAGACAGACACAGAGGCGCACCTTAGAGACCAAGTAAATGAAACTAGCTAAGTTTTCTCATTTATACCAAAGTTATAAGCCTACTAACTAACTGGTAAGGTTGTCTTGCAGGTTGGTTTGATGTTCTATATCTGCATCTTCTGGACGTCTTCATCGCTTTTTGGAGCGGTATACGTGTTCCCCTTCGAGAAGATCTACCTGGTGAAAGAAAGAAAAGCAGACATGTACAGACTTAGTGTGTATTACGTATGCAGTACACTATGTGATATGGTGGCACACGTTTTATACCCAACATTCTTCATGATAATTGTCTACTTCATGGCTGGGTTCAATAGGACTATCCCCTGCTTCCTTTTCACCGTGTTGACAATACTACTGATAGCCATAACTAGCCAAGTAAGCAACGAAATATTGATGACTTGTCTCTCTTTTGAACTTAAAAACATGTTTTTTTCCAATGTAACTGCAGGGCGCAGGAGAGTTCCTAGGAGCTTCAGTATTGAGCATTAAGAGAGCTGGTATGTTCGCCTCTTTGGTACTAATGTTGTTTCTTCTAACAGGAGGTTACTATGTTCAGGTACCACAACTTATATAACTTTGTGATAGATTACTCTTTTTAGTGAATCATGATATCAAAGCTGGTTAGAAATTTAACTGGTTATTCCAAACAAAAAGTGATGCTCTTTTGAATTCGAAATGCAGCACATACCCAAATTCATGCAGTGGTTGAAGTACTTGTCCTTCATGCACTACGGCTTCAGGCTGCTTTTGAAAGTTCAATACTCAGCGGACCAACTTTTCGAATGCGGGAGTAAAGGCGGCTGCAGGACACTGCAAAGCTCATCGTCCTTTGACACAGTCAACTTGAATGGTGGCTTGCAAGAGCTGTGGGTTCTGCTAGCCATGGCATTCGGCTACCGTCTCTGTGCATACTTCTGCCTTCGCAAGAAAATAAGCATTTGCCATCTTTGATAACAAGATGTAAACAAGAAAATGACAAAACAAGTTCATACAGCTATTTCCAGTTTTGAAGTCTCGTGGTTTTTGTGATGAGTAAGAGCTAAGCAGGAATCTGGGATATAGCAGTGAAGCCAAATGCACAAGCTTTTAATATAAACCATATAAAACAATTGTTGTTTTAGTACAGAGACAACATCACCCCAGACAGAATAAAAGCAATAGTTCATCATAAACAAAATTTTGAAACAAAAACTAAACTAGAAACAGAGTAGAAAAGATCTAAAATGGTCTAAAATTATCTAATGTGTTCACATAGTCAAATATTCAGGAGTGAAAAGAGTGGCTAAACCTTGATCAACTCTTAACTGAAGCTTGTTTTGCTCTTTCCACAAAACATAAACCGCAGAAGTTATACTACATTTATAACTTTTTGTGCACTGTGGATGTTACTTTTCTTTCCTTTTTGAATAAGAGATTAGCAGGAATCCGAGATATAACACTAAAGTCAAATGCATAAGTTTTTGATATAAACCATAAAACATTTGGTAGTTTTTGAGTATAGAAACTTCACAATCCCAGACAGAATAAAAGCTTTAAATCGTAATCATCATACAGACAAGTAGCGATAACACTTTATAATCAACAATCACTTCATGTATCTGTGCAGGAATTTTCTGTGGAAGTCACTCCTGATTGTATCATTGATGAAGCGCTTAGGTGCTTTCATTTCACCACGTGCCTGGTTTTTGAAGACTACATCATCATCCCACCTGAACAAAAAGAGATAAGTTGTTTTGAGATAAGTTGTTTTGAGAATCTGCCTCGAACAATTAATGTAATCCCAAGATTCATAAAGAAAAAAGATTTCAAAAGATGCTAACCTCCTTTTCACACTAAACGAAGTTGGAGTATTAAGCAGTGGGTTTCCTTTGAGAAGTTCCTCTTCCTTGGCGTTTAGCTCTTCCATCTGCTGCTGCTTTTCCTGGAAAATGTGAATGACACATATGTTACCAACAAATATAACATTGATTGTAACAAGACAAACCTTCCTAATGTTAAATATGTTTAAGAAAACCTTATCCTATCCATTTTTAATAGTAATCTGAGCAGAAACGTCAGAGACAATAGCAACATTACCTTCCTGAGCCTCTCTTCTACTCTCTCTTTCTTTATCTGGTCGAGTTCCGCCATAAGAGCTTCAGTGTCGTCCTCGTCGTCATCGTCACTTTCGTCATCACTAACAAAGACAAACAGATTGAAAGATAATTTTGAAAGAACTAGAATGTTGGGAGTCACGTGGGTCACAATAAACTCGAAAAGATAATGGAAAGCAAGGAGTTAACATTTCCCCAGAATCAATTGTATTTTCATAACTCTATGGCCCAAATGAAAAGCAATGAGGTACACTTAAGGTTAGGAACTAAAGCCCCAACCTTGATAATATTACTAGCCAAATTTAAAGCACAGCATAAAGAACTGCAAAGAGGAAGACAAGAGCGGAAGAGATGAAAAATAAGTACCTTTCATCATCACTTTTGATATCAACATCAGAATCATCAGCATCTACACTGCGAGGAATAATCCGATCTTCAGGATCCCTTTTAGAGCCTAAACATAGGGAATCCAGGTTAGAAAACATATGACATTAAACTATCTAATGTGACCCAAATAAAGATCATGACAGATGGTGAAAGGAATAAACAAATGAGTTTCTCTAACCTTCCAGTAAAAGCTGACTTCCTCTTCTGCGATCTCTATCGTCTAAGGGTTAAAAGACATTACAAAAATCCACATTAGCCCATATCCAGTTTTTTAAAAAAGGTAGAAGCTTAGGAAAATCATAATGAAAAGGCTTGAAATTCATTAATCTTACCACTGTATGATTTGTCTTTGGATGAGAAATGTCTCCTCTCACGGTCTTCAAGCTCATCGCGAAGATTTTTCTTCTCGAGTTCCTCTTGAGTGTTTTGCCCTTCCCTCCTGCCAAACAGCAAAAAAATAGGAGACGTAAGTATGAAACCCCATAAACAAGGAGACAGATGTGCTTATATAGAAACGTTACAAACAATAAGCACATATAATCCCCTGGAAAGAATCAAATATCTTACAAAGCAGCATAATTTAAAACTACTGATCCTCAAAAATCTACAACAAGAACAAACAGGACCACAATACTACCGATCTCAGCAATCCAAAAGACAAATTACATAAGCCTTTTCCTGATTCTCCGTATTAAAAACACCATATGACAAATAGCTAGCACTCGATTGCAATAAACCCTAGATTTCTGGACAATCTCGTCAAATCAAAGCTCAAATTCAATTGAATTCACAAGTAATCTAATCCGCATCGAATGCAGGGAGGGAAACCAGTTTCGAAATCTCACCTTGGCTTTAAAGTTGTGTGAGCGGCGACATCACGAGACGAATACTTCTGAGACGGACCAAAGATCCGAGCTCCACCTTGCTCGTTACCTCCCTTAGCTGGAGCCCAGGTAGGTCGTGCTGCGGTCGTCATCTTCAGAAAACAAAAACCCTAATTTCCGATCAGAGAGCGAATCAACCAAGATATAGATAAGGACGAAGAGGACTCTCAGGCGCGTTGCGAGAGAGAGAAGAAGTCAAAAAATAAGACACATATCCTTCAATTTTTTTTTTGTCGAGACAGATCCTTCAATTTATAGTTTCGATCCTTGTATTAAGTATTAACCGACCTTTAAGTACCGTAATATTTTTCCTTTTTGTTGATCGACCTTAATTAACTTTTCTTTCTTTTAATTTTAATTTCACCAACTTTTTTCATGAGACTAATCTACGGTGTGTTGATGAATAAAATCCAAATCATCAATTCGTTTAGTTCATAATGCTGATAATATTTGCATTTCGAAACCACACACACCTGTGACTACAACCTTGTTCGAATTATGATTTATGAGTTACACAGATTTTCACAAATTACAAAAGAGACCAGATTCTTCTAACACTTGACCAAACAATGACGCTGATCTCGGTTTCGACTTGACCACTTCCTTTGTAGATTTGGCACACATTTTGGATTCTGCCAAGACCCTACTCGCTGCTTTACGCCGTCGTTTAAGCTCAACATCCACCACAACTGTAGCTTCTTGAGCCATCTCAGCTTTCTTCAAGGCATCTTGTGTTGCCGCTTTTATATCTTCAATCTCCCTCTCACTCATTTCTAGCGTCTTGAGTGTTTCATCTCTACAAGCTCTTAACGCTTCTGTCTCAGTTAATTCTTCGGCACCACTTTCTTTTACCTCAGCTGATGATCTGAAATCAGATTGTATAACTGCAACATTCAACTGTTCTCTGGCATGTGCCTCTGCTGCTTTTGCTTCTTGAGCTTCGGAAAGAGCAATCTTAAGCTCCCCTTCTAACAGCGAGAGTTCTGTCTTTGCATCTTTGGCTTCCTTCTTCAGCTCCTCAATGGCTTGATTCCTTTCTCTTTGCTCACTCTCTTTAAGCTCTGAATGTTCTTTCTCTACTTTTTGAAGCTCGAGCTTAAGAGACTCCACTAATATACACAATTCACCCTCCTCTTCAGCTACTCTGTGAATCGATTCCTTAGCAAAGCCTAGCTCTGTAGTCACACCTCTCACACTAGTACTCAAATCAAACTCTTTCTCATCATTTCTCATATTCAGCTTAGTTCCCAGCTTCTGACAGAGATGTTCAACAGTTTTCTTAGCTTCATCAAGCTCTAACAAAGCCTCAATCTTGATCTTCTCAGTATTCTTTATCTTTTCCTTCAACTTGTTAATCTCTCTGTTCCAGAGACAGAGGTTTGTCTCATCCACCAACACTCCCTGCAATCACAACCAATTCAGAAAATCTATCACCACCAAGAAACATAGATTTTGTAAATAGAGAAACAAACAGCCGGATACCTGTTCTTGTCTCTTGTTGAGAGGCTTTCCTCCAGAGAAGCCAGCGTCAAAGAGCTTAACCGCATCTTTAACAGTATGAAAAGTAGCCATTCACTACTAAACCTTACCGACAAAAACGATTTGGCTGGCTCTCAATAATACAGACAAGAGAAGAGACGAAATAAAACACTGATCTCCGAAGCTTTTAGCTGGACATTTTGTCTATAAGAAGAACGTTAAGAAGTAACAATGACCTTAAAAAGAAAGTACTACCCTTTTTTCTTTAATTTCCAGAACCCCAAACCAAAAGAAAAAAAACTGTAGATTAGGACGTTGTACCTTTAGAACACTGTAACTCAGTACAGTAATGGAAGGAGGAAAGAGGGCAGCTTCGTCTCGAATGGACAAATCATGCTCACGTGTCACGTCCGTGCAAGTGAGAGAGTTCACGGGTCACTCTACTTTTATTTTATTTTTTCACTTTATCTCTGCGATGCACGTGAATTGCCTATTCAGAACCACATGAGTTCCTAGTTCAATTCTACTGAAACACAAAGAGAATTGTAGATTCTTTAACACGTTTCAGAATAGAGTAAAGTTTTTACCTTTATGGAATATAAAACGTAAATTACACTAGAATATTGGTATTTTGACATGAAAGAGTAAAAAAAAATGCTTACTGGAGAAGAGATCTGAGTAGCAACAGCCGCCTGCAACGAGAGGGATACAAAAGCCAAAAAAAAGAGTTGGGGAAGAAGACCGTTTGACGTAATTTACGATTTTGACCTTCGATTGAATGTAATAAAGGGAAGAAAACAGGGTAGAAGGGCCGAAATTAAACGAAAAGCAAATCCGCATAATATGGGCTTTAGGCCCATTAAACGTTGCTTTGATACTCCCATCAAGAGGAACCCTCTCTTCGAAAAAGAGTGTTTGTTCAGAAAATGCGATTTAAGTTTTTATAATCCAAGGTTTTTGGTTAGCTCCAGAAGAGCATCCATGCTGCAATTGCTCTCATTTGGAGTTTATCTTCTGCTGAAACGCAGAAAACTTCTCCAGAGTCTTTGAAGCGAACCCAGAAGACGCGAAAATCATTGCCCCTCGTAGAAGAGGTAAATGGTTCTTCTTGCTCCATTCCTTTATTATAATGTAATGCACCGTGAATTGCCTCTTCCTGGCAATTTTCTTTAGTCCGCGTTTCTTCTTGCTCCATTCCTTGCTTTTCTGCTACAGGTTTCAAATTTGATCATTGGAAGTTGGAACAGACCGTTGTGCAAGCTGGTTTACTCAAGGAAGGCCTCTGTTCTGTTCAGGATGAGAGTGCAGGTCTGTTTTGGTTTCGTAATTCTTTGGTCTGCTCCTGAGAAAAACTTACAGTCTCATCCTCGTAAATTCTTCATGTTGTAAACAGATTTTAGTTTATCCAAATCCTTTAGTTTTTTTTGGACTAATAGTCTCAGTGAAACCTCAGCCAGGCGAGAATGGATGCATGTGCTGCTCCTGGAGGAAAGACCCTATTCATGGCATCTTGCTTGAAAGGCCAAGGTAATAAGAATATTACAAAGGCTTTGAGGTTCTTATATCTTACGCTTCATTTTCTTGCTATACTTGACTGGTTCCATCCTTAAACTGGCAAACTCGCATATAGGCATGATATATGGCATGGATGTGAATTAAGGACTGCTAAAAATTCTTGGCGAGACAGCAAAATCACACCAAGTTGATGGAATTATCACAACCATTCATTCCCATCTCCGTGTCTTTGCTGTAAGTTATAACACTATATATTTGAGTAACTGATCTTTCCAAGTTTGTAAGCTACTCTACTCACATACTTGCTTGTAAACCAATCAAGGTACGTACAGTATGATAATATTTTTGCTTGATGCTCCGTGTTCTGGATTTGGCGTCCTCTCCAAGGTTAACATAAGAACTTAAGAAGTTCGATCTAACTAACTGTTTTGCCTGCAAGATGTTTCTTGCTACAGTCGTTGAATTGACCTGATATGATTGGTTAAACTCGGTTTACTCGGACCGGTTCCTTTTAGCTTATAATAAATGTTGGTATTAGGTTTCTGATGAATTTGTGGGAACAAAAACTAGAAGAAGACACCCAAATCGGAGAAGAATGCACGGTCGTCCGAGGAACGCGGCTTCGAAGCCAGGAGAGGAGGCAACCTCCGCTGCTAAAGCCTTTAGGCTCCGGTCGCTCCAGCCCCAGTTTATGTCCAATCACCATCAAAAGATGTACGTACACTCTTCTTCTTCTGCTATTTCCTTTCTCTCAATCAAAACCACACAATGATATGTTTGGTTTATGCTAGTTACACGCAGGAAGCAGTTCAAATAAGCGAGGAGCTTCTCAAAATAAATCCGGAGGCCTACACGGCTTGGAACTATCGGAAGCTCGCCGTCGAGGATAAGCTTTCCCGAAGCGACGACTCTGATCCAAGCTTGGTCAACTTAATTCTCAGTGAAGAACTTAGAGTCGTGAGTAGAAAATTTACGCATTGGTTTCTGAGTTTGATGATTGGTTGCTTCACATCCCATTCATGTCTCATCGGTTGACTGTGATATCTCTTCGTATAATCAGGTAGATGAAGTCATACTGAAAAATCTAAAGTCCTATGGGGCTTGGTATCATCGAAAGTGGGTTTTGAGTAAAGGACATCCCTCCTTACAAAAAGAACTGCAACTTGTGAATGAATATCAAAAGATCGATTCCAGGAACTTTCACGCTTGGAACTATCGCAGGTGAGATTTAGGGGATTGCTTCACATTGTCAATCAGATTTTGCATATTTCATATCTTGTCTTGTTCTTATTTTTTTCCAGGTTTGTTGTGGAGCAAACCAAGACGTCAGAACTGGATGAATTGCAGTATACAACTGATATGATTTATGATAGTTTCAGCAACTACTCTGCGTGGCACAATCGTAGGTATGCATATTTTAAGTTGGCATTTTGTGAACTAGATAGATGGTTCGAGAGATATGATTTTCTTATCAATTAGTATATAACTTTCTTTCTTTTTTAAAAAAAATAATTCTGCAGTCTTCTTCTTTCAAGTTTAGTCGCAAAAAAGGCTGATGGCTTTATGCCAAAGGAGACGATTCGTCGTGAAATTGATTTTGTATATAATGCTCTTTTTACGGACGAATATGACCAAAGTGCCTGGTTTTATTATCTTTGGCTTCTTGATCAAACTGTTAAAATGGAGACTCCTCTACGCATTTCCTCGTGGCCGTCAGATGGTTCCATTATCATTCTATCTGGACCTGAATGCTTCAATGGCTCTTCTTCTAAGTTCACTACTTTCTGCTCCGAGTCTGGTTCTTTTCCACTGATTCTTTACTTTGACCAAGCCGTCAGTGGAGTAAGCTCGTCTACTGTTACTGTTGATTCTGAGCTAAAAGGACATGAGGACCTTGTTTGGGAACCAGTTTCGGATAAAAACTCTCCAGTGTCTTCTTGTGTATGGGTTGCTCGTCTGGAATTTGACAGTACAGAACCTTGCTTTCGCACGGAAAACAAAGTGAAGGTCTGCCTTGGGAAGTCTCGAGGAATTGTTTCTTCCAGGGGATGTAACCTCAGCACTCCTTATGAGTTTGTATTTACAGTGCTTATTCATGACACTGTCGGAGTCTCACAAGAAGGCATTGTTTCATGGACGGGGGATGGTTTTGACAATTGGGATGCACAGTCGAAGGATTTGAATTCTCTTATCGCCTTGGATCACTTAAACGCTGATACGGGTGTTGAGTGGCGTAAGAAAGCTATAAAGATGGAGATTGAATGCTTTCGTAGATTGCCTGACAGGTAAAAAAAATAATCCTGTAAACTTTATTGATTTAATGGACAAAGAAGTTGTAGTCTTGACCTTCTGAGTTCTTCTTTGGTTTTTTAGCAAATTTGGAAAGCTCATTCTTGCAAGACTTTTAATGACTGAGGCAAATGTGATCTCGGATGATGCTGTTTATAAAGAAATTCTCCAGCTGTATAACGATCTGATGGCCCTTGATTCTACGCATGACCAGTACTACAAGGATGAGCTCAGCGTAGCTCTTCTCCACAAGGTACTTAGTCTTCTTCCTTTTAGCTGTCAATCTCAAGTTGAGTTTCTGCTCTTAAAACTTTTTATCGGATTTGTATGAGTTTTTCACTGTTTGGTTTTAGATGTTTTTAAAGATGCCTATTATTTATTAGTCATAAAGAGATTTGTTGATGCACAGGTGACTTCAAGCACCGAATCCTTGTCCAGATACCTCTTTCGGTACAGGAATATGAACAATATTGTATGTCTAAGGCTCAGTAACTTAACACTATCTCGGATAGCCGCTGTCGATAAGTTGCTATTTGTCCAGATGTTAGATCTCAGTCACAATGAGCTTCATTCAGCCGATGGTATGTAGTGTTTTCTAAACTTTTGAGTCTTCAGTAGCAGTTGTTTCATCTGTGTGATTAAATATGGGCCCTGTAGGGTTGGAGGCGATGCAGCTTCTCTGTTGCCTAAATTTGAGTCACAACAGAATCAGGAGCTTTTCAGCGCTTGACTCTCTGAGACATCTGAAGCAGCTCAGAGTGTTGGATGTTACACATAACCACATCGGCGGCAAGCACCCAGTGGACACAACAAGGTACCTTTGTTCTTCGCCCCTCTCTAACTCGGGTGGAATTGGAAGAGAGGTGCCTAGTAAATACTGGGATGCGTATTTGGTGCTTGGAGATTTGATGAAACTGAAGCAGTTAGATTTAAGAGGCAACGACCTAATTGCAGGGGAAGAGTTCAGCTCCTTAGTCCGCCAGGTTGTGCCAAAGCTTGTATGGCTCAATGGCCACAAACTTGCAAGTTAACTGTTAGGCCAGTTCTTCTTTACTTAATATTTTGTTTTTGGTTTTTAGGTCTAATTAATTATTAAATTATGGAACTTATGTGGTTCAGTTTGATCTAAAGAAGTCCGGTTTGATTTCGTTTGACTTGACAAACAAGTTTGCAAACTCGTTCAAATAAGAAAACATAAATTCGTAACTAAAATCAACAAAGGAACACAAAAGGGTTCGTCCGTTATATATATTTATTTATTTATTCCACAGCTTCAAGTTGAAGCCTTCAACACAAATTTTTTAATTAAAAAGAACAATCTACACATATCATAAAATATAATTCTCCAAAACATCACATAAACCACACGACGACTCTAAACGGCGCCATGCTGCCTGGTACACGATATGGAAGAACCGGAAGCACCGAATCTCTTGCCTTCATTGCGTTTGAGAAGCCCAATATCATTAACCTCATGGATTAACATTAATATACAACATGGCCGCATATACGGGCTTTATAGGCCCATTAATCGTTGCTTTGATACTCCCATCTAGAGGAACCCTCTTTCAGAGAAAGAGTGTCTGTTCAGAAAGTACGATAAAGAATTTATAATCCAAGCTTTTTGGTTAGCTCCAGTAGAGAGCATCCATGGCGCAATTGCTCTCATTTCGCGTTTATCTATCTGCTGAAACGCAGAAAGCGTCCCAAGAGTCGTTGAAACGAACCCAGAAGACGCGTAAACCATTTTCGCCTGGTAGAAGAGGTAAATGGTTCTACTATTTTTTTTGGTTTCCTTGAGAAACTTAAAAACTAATGGCAGTATCGACGCTGAGTTTGCCTGGTTCTGTCTTCAATCTCTGTGCTTTACTCGGAAATTTATGAATACACAGGTCCGGTGGCTCTGCCGAAGAATCCCCAGAATCTGAATTTGGAAGTTTCTCCACATAGAGCTGGTAGAGTAATCTATTGCTACTGTTACCTTTTTAGTCACTTGGAGTCTTTTTATTTCAGTATATAGTCCACTGCAATTGAGTTTTCCTCATATCTTATATCAGTTTTTGTTTGTGGAGCTTAAACAGTGTCTGCAGTTAGATTGATGAGAATTGAGTATGGAGGTGCGTTTGCTGATCTTTTGAATGAGAAAGGAAAAGGCTCTGGGAGCAATGAGATGAGTTACGTTGAAAGGACAATCGGTTTTAGGACTCGCGATTTGGATGACCGGGATCTTAGACTGGTTAGTGTTGCCACTCTTATCTTGTTTCAATCCATTTAGTATAAAGACTGATAATAACTACATTCAAGTACTTCTTACAATTAAGAAAAACCGTAAGTCAGTTATCTGCTAACAATTAGGTTACGGATGTTGTTGGAGGAACAATACGATGGAGGAGGTATCTTGATCATTTGATTGGTTCCCTTTGTCACAACGAAAGAACATTTCGAAATATGGAACCTCTTCTACTGCAGGTATCAATTCCCTTGTGAATTTTGTTTGTCACTGTCAGACTTTGCAGCCTGCCAACAATGTGATTAAACTTATCACGCCTCTCAGACCTTAAACCTTGTTCTCTATTGTAGATTCTCCGCATTGGTGTCTATGAGATCATTAAGCTTGATATGCCGTCATATGCTGTTGTAGATGAGGTATAAGTAGCACTAGTTTTCTACTTATTTTCTTTCTCAATTTCTTCTATAAATTGTTCCAAATGTAGATTTGCCAAATAGCATAAATCGTAATCTGCACTATTTCTTCCTACTACCTTAGTGAGGTCAAAAAATTTCTGATAGTCGTTCTTCTATATTTGACTATTTGTACTGTTTATTTGCTCGTTTTCAGAACGTGAAGCTTGCAAAAGTTGCCCTTAGACCTGGTGCTGGAGATTTTGTCAATGGGATTCTTCGTAAGCTAGTCTCTCTTAAGGTTTCTCTTTCTTAGACTTTTTTTTTTCCATTTTTCTCTTCAGTTCAACTTTAATCAAACAAACTTAAGCTTCTATCAATTCTGACGTAGGGATCTGCAGGAAAAAGATGCCCTTCCATTACCCAAAGTGGAAGGGGATGATCGTGCACAAGCACGTGCACTTGCTACTCTTCATTCACATCCCGTTGTAAGTTCCTCTAGCTATATTCTCATCTTTTCTTGTGGTTTTAATTTGAAGCTAGAGCTATTTAATGCTGTGAAATCGATTCTTTGAACCTATGAGGCTCCTAGATTACTTAGTATAGCTGTCAGAATATCTATGTAGTGCTGAACAATTCCAGTGAGGTCTCATTTTCTTTCCTTCCTTTACCCAGTGGATGGTTAGGCGATGGGTCAAGTATCTTGGGTTGGATGAAGCCACAAAGCTGATGACATGGAATAACAGTGATCCTGGATTTAGCTTAAGGTTTATCTCCAGATAACATTTTGCTCTTACAGAAGGACAGATAACTTATCAGCTGGTAGGCTGATAATACTTTTTCTAATGATATCAGGGCCAATATGGGAAGGGACATTACAAGAGCAGACCTCGTGGAGCGTCTAAACAGTTTAAAGGTGTTTTTTTTTTTGTTTAATCTTTCACGTTCTTTATTCAGTGTGGAATCATCATGTTTGTGTAAAACCAGGCACATGATTGTTTCTTATAAGGCAAAGTTTCTTACTTCAATTATGGCTTTCCTGTGCTACAGGTTCCACACGAGTTATCCTTACATTTGGAGGAATTTGTCCGCATCAAAACAGGCTTGCAGGTATTATAATGTTACCATGAATTGGATCTTCCTGGCAATTTTCTTTAGTCCTCGTTTCTTCTTGCTCCATTCCTTGCTTTTTTGCTATAAGTCTCAAATTTGATCATTGGAACAGACTGTTGTGCAAGCTGGTTTACTCAAGGAAGGTCTCTGTTCTGTTCAGGATGAGAGTGCAGGTCTGTTTTGGTTTCGCAATTCTTTGGTCTGCTCCTGAGAAAAAATACAGTCTCCTCTTCGTGTTCTAAACAGATTCTAATCTATCCAAATCCTTTAGTTCTTTTAGTATCTAAATATCTATCCACGTCTAGTACTGCAGGACTAATAGTCTCAGTGGTGAAACCTCAGCCAGGCGAGAGGATAATGGATGCATGTGCTGCTCCTGGAGGAAAGACCCTATTCATGGCATCTTGCTTGAAAGGCCAAGGTAATATTACAAAGGCTTGAGTTGAGGTCCTTATATAGTTAGTTATATCTTACACTTCATTTTCCTGCTATACTTGACTGGTTCCATAAACTGGCAAACTCGCATCGGTTATAGGTATGATATATGCTATGGATGTGAATGAAGGACGGCTAAGAATTCTTGGCGAGACGGCAAAATCACACCGAGTTGATGGAATTATCACAACCATTCATTCCGATCTCCGTGTCTTTGCTGTAAGTTAACACAATTTGAGTAAATGAACTTTCCAAGTATACACGGTACTCACATACCTTGCTTCCAACTTAATATATTGTTAGGAAACCAATGAGGTACAATATGATAAAGTTTTGCTTGATGCCCCGTGTTCTGGACTCGGCGTCCTCTCCAAGGTTAACATGAAGTTTTTCTAACTGTTTACCCAGCAAGATTTTCCTTTGCTAGTTGAATTGGCCTGATCTGATTAATCTGTGTTTTGTAGAGAGCGGACTTGAGATGGAACCGGAAACTTGAGGACATGGTAGAGCTCACAAAACTGCAGGATGAGCTTCTTGATTCTGCTTCCAAGTATGCACTCTGTACATACATTTTGGTCAGTCACTCGTCTAATTCTGAAAACTATTATGTGACTTATCGGATACTTTTCTCTGTGACACTCGTGACTGAAATATCAAAGACTGGTGAAGCATGGTGGGGTCTTGGTATACAGCACTTGCTCTATAGACCCCGAAGAAAATGAAGGAAGGGTCGAAGCATTTCTCCAAAGACATCCTGTAAGAATCTTCATAGTCCATTTGCTTTCGTTTAGATGTGGATATTTAACGACTAGTCTCTCTGCTTTCACAGGAGTTCTCCATAGATCCAGTAACTAGTTTCGTACCACTGAGTTTTGTAACCTCGCAAGGCTTCTTTTTATCTAACCCAGTGAAACACTCCTTGGATGGAGCATTTGCAGCTCGTTTGATTAGAGCCTTTTGACGTTAAAAGCTAAGCAATAGCAGTAAGCTTTCGTTTCTGTGCCTCCAAAAAGAGTTTAGATTCCAGTCTTGTATGATGAGAGGAAGAGAATAAAAGAAAACAGTTTTTTCTTTTGTTCGTGCATCTTATTTGTAGTTGAGATTAGGAGAGAACTGTAAACTTGTAGCTGAAATTGTTTTGGTTGATATGTAAACGTCACGCTGTTACGAACAATATAAAGGGAATGCCTTACCGTTTGAAAGAGTTATAAACGACGGCTCGTTCTGTAGGGTTTCTCTCGTTTGGAAAACTTGACTGTACATACTACATACGTACATCGTTCGTTGTGATAAGATTTGGATAACAAATCGGGCTATAAAAAGCCCATATCAGAGTTTGGTCGGCCTATAAAGCTGATATGAATCAATCATGCAAAACAGACAAAATTATAACATTGAATTGAAAATATCTATCTACCACTACCATCATTATTTTATCTTTGTACGATTTGCTATTTCATGTCAGAAAATGTTACATTCTTTGACTTTTACGACAATTTTACGAAAACAAATTGTTCATACAAAAGTCACTGAAGCAGAATAAGTTAAAGCCAAAACAGTATGATTTTCAAACGCGTTTAGAAAAGTAAAAAAATAATAATAAATAAAATTAAACAAATTAAACTTAAGATTTTGACGTTATCCTTGTCAGCAGAGAATCTTTCCTATTTCTTTACGAATAGACACAAAGAGGAGAGAGAGAGAGAGACCGAGAGAGAGTTACAGCACTATATCTCTCTCTAATAGAAGATATCACTATCTCTCTTCATCACTCTCTATCTTTCTCGTGTTAACGCAAGAAGAGTCACAGATCTTGGTCGGTGATCGGAGATGGAGTTCCGAGAGAAGCTTCTGAAGTTCAAGTTCCAAATAGTCTTGGCCTTCGTTCTATCTCTCCTCACAGTGGCTCTGGTCACTTACTCCCCTGGTTTCCTCACCGTTGTATCCTACTTCTGGCCACTGTTTGTCTCCACGGCTCTCTTTCTCGCCGCCATTTTCTTCTTCGCCCGCACCTCCGACCTTCCGGCTTCGTCGTCTACCATCCCCGGGGAAGGCACCGGCTTAAAAGTGGCAGCGGAAGGGATTCTTGACTATGTCGTCGGCGGACAACACGAAGAAACTCTCTTTGATAGCTTCACCAACCTCGACTAAGTACTGCAAAGATCTCTCTCTGTTTTAAATTTTTCTTTTTCAAGTTTTCTCGTTAGTTTTTTCTTACTAATACTAGAGTATAATAGTATTTCATTAATGTAATAGGTCACGAGGAATAAGAATAAATCTTGCCTTTTTAAAATTTAATCTATGAATCTTTTTAAGCGCGAGGCTTATTTTTAGGTATCTCTCCCTATTTATTTTCTACGTTACATTTTACAACATTTCATTGATATGATATGAATATGAATATGATTTACTTTCAAAATAATTATAATATATTCTTATTTTTCAATATGCTGAACGACCTTAAACCCCGTGCTTTACTATTTTCATAATGAAAAAAATACAACCACCGACACGACAGCTTTTCATTTGTTTAGTAAATTAAAAGGAAGAAAATAATTTAAATATTAATCACTGTTTGTATTATAGTCAGAAGGCCTCCTTTATTTTAAGAGATTCATTTGTTATATCAGATTATCATATCATTAATTCGTGTTCAGTACATTCTTCTTATTAGATTCTATTTTCATTTTAGATAATGAAAGCATTAGGTGAGCTAGGAGCTATCATGCATAGAGAGAAGAAAGAAAAAAAAAAAGAGTTAAATAATTGAATAGCTATAGCATAGATTTGAACATTTTGTTATCTTCCTCACGTGCCCGAGGCATGTAGCTCACACTCATGAACAAATCTCGACCACTTGAACTAAAATATCCAAACTACATATTCAGTTTTTCGTATTAGCTAAAATATATTCAAATGTAGTTCTTAGTACAGGAGGGACTAGCTAAGGGTAGGGTATTTCTCTTAGTTCATTATCAACAGATGTAGCTCTCCTACTCTCCAGCTCTCCTAGTCATATGATGTATGTTTCTTCATTCGATCCATATATACTCGCATCTAAAACCATTTTTAGTTTCTCTGCTGGCGCATCACGCATGCATGAGCTTCGCATTTTTTTTTGCTAGAATTTGGGATATTGGTGTGAATGTGTGAGTAGAGGAAGTGCATAAAGCTTTTTACATTAAGAGAAAATGCTATTGTTGAGTTTCGAACTGTGTGGAGTTTGAGAAGCATAACGCCAAACGTCACGGAGTTTTGTTTTTATTTGGAGAGATCGAGAGAATAAACAAAACGACACGCATGTTTTTAGTTTCAACTTATAACGGCAAGCTTTTCGTAAACCCACCCACTCACTTCTCTCGTGGGTCTACAAAGATATATTCGTCGCCGATTGCGCATTCCTCGGTTTTGAAAACACACTCCAAAGAGACATGGAGGGAAAAATTTCGAGTTCAGAAGATACTAATTTGCTTCAAAGGATCAAAGGTAACAACAAAATAATCCCCAAAACTTAGATTGAATTCTCTGGTCTATGATTTCGCTGACTCTTCCTTGTTTTTTGTTCATCACCATTGTTTTGATTTTGAGCAGAATTTACTCGATTGGTCATTGAAGATCTTGCTGAGGGAAGATCTCCGAAAATTTCAATCAATCGATTTAGGAACTATTGCATGAATCCAGAAGCTGACTGGTTCGTCTCTCTCCCTTGAATCTCTCGATTTCTTCTTCTTTCTTCTATTAAGAGTGAAGATGGTGTTTCTTATTCCCTTTAATTGAAACAATTTAGACGTGATTTTCCCATGGTTGGAGAAATTTTTGAATGACTGAAGGACCGCAAAATGATGAAAAAAAACTAAGAATCTCTCAACTCTGAATCGATTCATCGGTTTATCAGTGTGACTTCTTCAAGTATTACTGCGTGAACATGGCCTCATAAACTTACCATTTGCTTTTGCTGTCTTATAGCATTTGCAGCTCTGATAACCCAAAGGGTCAGGAGATTCTCACTCTTAAGAGGGAACCCCAAACCTACAGAATCGGTAAGTCAGGTTTCAGATCATTTTCACTATTCCAGCAGTGTTATCTCTTGGCTTAGAGAGTTGCGGTGTTTTTTTATACCTTTCAGATATGTTGCTAAGAGTATTGTTGATTGTCCAAAAACTTCTGCAAGAAAATAGACATGCCTCAAAAAGAGATATCTACTACATGCACCCATCCGCATTCAAAGGTATAAATATTTCGATAAAGAATATACATGTTAAGTTATGGATATTTCTGGTGAGTTCTTCTTGATATTTCACCTTCACGTATATTAGGACAGTCTAGTATGGTTAAATATGATACTGAGTCACTCTTGTTGTGTTCTTAGCCTTTCAGTAACACTGTTCTTTCCTGCACTCTTGTTGTGTTCTTAGCCTTTCAGTAACACTGTTCTTTTCTGCTTCTTATAGCACAATCAGTTGTGGACCGCGCAATTGGTGATATATGCATCCTTTTTCACTGTAGTCGGTACAACTTGAATGTGGTTAGTACTTGAATACTTTCAATTTCTATTTTTCCTTTGAAGAATATAAATCCCCGTTTTTGAGTATGTGATTCATGTGATATTTTGCAGGTTTCTGTTGGAAATGGGTGGGTATGCTTGGTAACAGTTACACTGCTTCTATCTTGAGAATGTCACTATTTTAGGATCCAACTCATCATTCTTTTGAGTTGTAGGTTGGTGATGGGCTGGTTAAAATTTAGGGAAGCTGGGAGGAAGTTTGATTGTTTAAACAGCTTGAATACTGTAAGATTGGAACTTAAGATTCATTTTTTATGTTGGCTTCAGGAAGTTTAACTCTCCTAGTGACTTCATTTCAGGCGTTTCCGGTTCCTGTTCTTGTAGAGGAAGTTGAAGGTATTTATATATATGAACAATAATCTTTCCTCTTCTTCTGTTTTTAGCCTGCTGATATTTGCTTTAGAAGATCTGATGTGTATGAGATAGTAGCTTTTTTCTTTGCAACTAATAGAAACTCATTTTAAACCATGCTTTATGCTCCCTACAGAGGTAAATCCTTTATCTTAAGTTGCCAACATTGTGTTAGGAATGATATTTGGATGTCACATTCCTGCTTGCAGATATTGTTAGCCTAGCAGAGTACATTCTGGTGGTGGAAAAAGAAACAGGTAAACTCTCTATCTATATTGTAACCAGGAAGATGCTTTTTTCTCTTCACTGCACCAACTGATCAGTTACTTCATCCATTGTTAATAGTATTCCAGCGTTTAGCAAATGACATGTTTTGCAAGTTGAATCGCTGCATCGTTATCACAGTAAGCACTGCAGTTGATTAATTCTTACTGATTTCAGTTTTGACTAGTTTTCCCTTTCCTTTCCTGCCATTTTTTTCAATAAAGGTGTGATTGTTTTTGGCAGGGAAGAGGCTATCCTGATGTCTCAACAAGAAGGTACATAACTTAATCCCAGGTTCTTTGATTACTACCGTATCAGACACTATCTTCTGTTGAGGAAATATACTAGAGAATAACACAGATTCTCTCCAGGTTCTTGCGACTCCTCATTGAGAAGTTGCAACTACCTGTGCATTGTCTAGTCGATTGTGATCCATATGGCTTTGAAATCCTCGCCACATACCGTTTTGGCTCCATGGTTAGATTCTGTTACAAAATATTATATGATTGAACTCAAAAATTATACCGCTTGCATTGTTCTGTTGATAGTGATCCATTGGCATTGACCCATTTTCCGTGTGTCACTTGTTTTCTTATTTTCTGTAAGCAAATGGCTTATGATATTGAATCATTACGAGCACCAGATATGAAATGGTTGGGAGCTTTTCCTTCGGACTCTGAGATATATGATGTTCCCAAACAGTGTCTTTTGCCTTTGACAGAAGAGGGTAAGAGCATTAAACCACCTTGTCGTTTCAATCTTTGTATTTTTCATTTTTCTCATTGCTTACGTTTCTGATACTGGACGATTTTCACTGACAGATAAGAAAAGAACTGAGGCACTGTTACTTCGATGCTACCTGAAGCGTGAAATGCCACAATGGAGGTATCAACAAACTTCCACGTCTTTTTGTATCTACATTTCATACAATAGTACAAAAACTAGTCTTGATGAAAACAATTTTGGTCGTCTAAGGTTGGAACTTGAAACGATGCTGGAAAGAGGTGTGAAGTTTGAGATTGAAGCACTCTCAGTTCACTCACTGTCTTTTTTGTCAGAGGTTTATATTCCTTCTAAGATTTGTCTTGAGGTAACTTCCCCTTGAGCTATGATACGAGTCTCCAACTCAAGGTATGCTCATCGAATTTAATGACTCTTTATAAGCTTTAGTAACAAATGCCAAATGCTTTCCGGATCGTATGGGTTCATGGTACAAATGAACGTGGAAAATTATACAAGAAGCAACTCAGTTTTAACTTTAATGATAGTTAAGTACCTAAATAATTTGAGTGAGTTGTGTTATATTAAAACATCACTTCCGGTTGGTTTTGAATAATAAAGGGGGAGTGATAAATAGGGTTCATTTTCTTTCTACATTTCCTAACCTAATTTCAAGTATTAAAGCCGTACGCCTGACTTGAAACCTTGAGACACTCCGATCCAAAAAGAGAAAAACCTTGCACACACCTGAAAACGATGTCGTCACTCTCCCGCTTTCTCCTACGTGGCACCTTCAGCTTCAGCACTCCCACGAACCGCCGCTTTTTCTCCGCCGTTACCGCTGCCGCAGCCACAACCTCGCCACCCAAACCGTCCCTCATCACCCTTGTAAATGACGAACGTGACCCCAAATTCATCACGGAGAAGTTCAAAAAGGCCTGCCAAGCAGAGTGGTTCCGGAAGAATATAGCCGTCTATGAGAGAACCGTTCGCCGTCTCGCCGCAGCCAAGAAGTTTGAGTGGATCGAGGAGATCCTGGAGGAGCAGAATAAGTATCCAAACATGTCGAAGGAAGGATTCGTGGCGAGGATTATCAATCTCTATGGACGAGTCGGTATGTTTGAGAATGCGCAGAAGGTGTTCGACGAAATGGCTGAGAGAAACTGTAAGAGAACAGTGTTGTCTTTCAACGCTTTGCTTAATGCGTGTGTGAACTCCAAGAAGTTCGATTTGGTTGAAGGACTCTTCAAGGAGTTGCCTGGTAAGCTCTCGATTGAACCAGATGTTGCATCTTACAATACTTTGATCAAGGGATTGTGTGGAAAAGGTTCCTTCACCGAAGCTGTTGCATTGATTGATGAGATTGAGAACAAGGGTTTGAAACCTGATTATATCACCTTCAACATACTTTTACATGAGTCGTATACGAAAGGGAAGTTCCAGGAAGGAGAAAAGATATGGGCTAGAATGTTAGAGAAGAATGTTAAACGAGACATCCGTAGTTACAATGCTCGGTTGTTAGGGTTAGCCACAGAGATGAAATCAAATGAGATGATTACTCTCTTTGATGAACTTAAGGTTAATGGGATTAAACCCGATGTTTTCACATTTACTGCCATGATTAAAGGATGTGTGGGTGAAGGAAAACTGGATGAAGCAATAACGTGGTACAAGGAAATTGAGAAGAATGGTTTGCGCCCGATGAAATTTATCTTTACCTCACTACTTCCTGCAATGTGCAAGGCGGGCGATATAGAGTCTGCTTATGAGCTCTGCAAGGAGATATTCAGTAAGCGTTTACTTGTAGATGGAGCCATTTTGCAGGAGGTAGTTGATGAGTTGGTGAAAGGGTCCAAGCAAGATGAAGCTGAAGAGATCGTCAAGCTCGCAAAGACGAATGACTATTTGAAGTGCGAGCTACGTCTCTCTTCCGAAGAGTAGTTCATTGGCTCTTTAGTGTCTTATTAGTCCATGTTTCCTCTCTCTCTCTCTTTCTTTAGTGTCTTGTTGCAAACTGCGAGTGCTGTGATCCATTGGATAACTGAACTGAACTATCTGTAGTTTTGTCTTTTTCTTGTTTGTGTGGCTTTAAAAGTTCAAATAATTTCGAGTTGCCGTTTTTCCTTTCTGATTCAAAAAATGGCATGCAATCGTTTGTTATAGACCAAAAAACGCTGCGTCGTTCATAGAAACCACTGGCAGATGTTGACGATGAAAACAAACGGCACGCTGTTCTGTTTTGGTAAAATAAGAAGCATTATTCCGTGATCTCTGCATAAGTAAGACCGAGTCGGATCCAAAACCCTAAACCCTCTCACTCACACTCACATTTTCAACCTTCACGAAGCTATGAGCAAGGTGGGCTCATCGCTGTTCAGTCGCCTCCATGGAATCTTCAAAGAGTCTTCGATCGGCGCCGTCAAGTCCACTAAACCTAAACGCCAAAACAAACCCAGTAAATTCCCTAGTAAATTGAAGGCCTCCCCCTCATCTTCCGCCTCCGTAGTAGACGGAGGGAATGAGGCCAAGGGATCGAAACTGACGAAGAAAGTAGAGAAGTTCAAGAAATCCTGCGAGTCAGAGAGTTTCCGGCAAGTCCATGGACTCTACAGTGCCTTTATCCGCCGTCTCAGGGAAGCGAAGAAGTTCTCAACGATCGACGAAGTTCTTCAGTACCAGAAGAAGTTCGATGATATCAAGTCTGAAGATTTCGTTATCCGTATGATGCTTCTTTATGGATACTCTGGAATGGCGGAGCATGCGCACAAGTTGTTCGATGAAATGCCTGAGCTAAACTGTGAACGAACTGTCAAGTCGTTCAATACCCTTTTATCGGCTTATGTTAATTCGAGGAAGGTTGATGAAGCCATCAAGGCCTTCAAGCAGTTGCCAGAGAAGCTAGGTATTACCCCTGATTTGGTTACTTATAATACTATGATCAAAGCACTTTGCCGCAAAGGCTCTATGGATGATATAGTATCCATATTTGAGGAGCTGGACAAGAATGGGCTTGAGCCTGACCTGATTACTTTCAACACACTGTTAGAAGAGTTCTATAGGAGGGATTTGTTTGTTGAAGGAGATAGGATTTGGGATTTGATGAAATCCAAGAATCTTGCTCCTAACATCAGGACTTATAACTCGAGGGTGAGAGGTCTAACTCGGAACAAGAAGTTCACTGATGCAATTAACTTGATGGATGTTATGAAAACTGAAGGGATCTTCCCAGATGTTCATACATACAATGCTTTCATTACGGCTTACCGCATTGATAACAACCTAGAGGAGGTTATGAAATGGTACAATGAGATTAAGGATCAGGGTCTGACTCCTGATACAGTTACTTACTGTTTGTTAATCCCCCTTCTCTGCAAGAAAGGTGATCTAGATAGAGCTGTTGAGATATCCGAAGAAGCCATCAAACACAAGGTTCTGTCTCGCCCCAACATGTACAGACCCGTGGTTGAGCGTTTGCTGGGTGTAGGCAAGCTTGATAAAGCAACACAGCTAGTGAAGAATGGCAAGTTACAGAGTTACTTTCGGTACCTACCAGACGTGTCAGCTGGTAAGAAGAAGACCACTTCCAGTCCGATCTCTTCAAGTCCGGAGACCTCTTCGAGTTCGGTCTCTCTAAGTTCAGAGACCATTCTGCTCTCTTTAAGTCTGGAGACTTCTTCAAGTCCGGACTCTTCGAGCTCAGTCTCTTCCAGCGCGGACACTTCGAGCTCTGTCTCTTCCAGCCTGGACTCTTCGAGTCTGTACTCTTCCAGCTCGGACTCTTTCAGCCCGGCCTCTTCAAGTCTGTACTCTTCCAGCTCGGACTCTTCGAGTGCGAACTCTTCCAGCTCAGTCTCTTCGTCTGGCTTGTTGGACGATTAAAGAATGCTTGTTCATTGTTTAGCAACTGGAATACGTTATGATGTTGACCTCCTATCTTGTTATCACTTGTTTAGATTTTGGTAACCAGTGTTTTCACTTGCAAGGAAACATGGCTATATTGGTCTGCTCTTGTGATTTTTTTCAAATTTTATATGTTCGGAACTTTGCTTTCCTTATATCTTGAGTAAAGTTTTAAAATTTCATATTACAAAGATTGGGTATGCATATATTTATATTCTCATTTCTTCCATCTCATATTTCCAAATATACAGAGTATAAATGATTTATTTTCACAATTTTATCCTAATCTCGCGATCTCTGAATTAATTAGCCTGTATTGTAGGATTCCATTACGAGATTATTCAGATATCAAATGATCTTTTTTTTTTCCCTCTAACCGGAATACAATATCCTACAAAACGCTATTTTAGGCAACACAATATTGATATTGGATCAAAATAAACAGATACACTTGCCTTAAAAGTACCCATTTAACATATTAGTTTAGCTGGTAGACCAAGCAACCAAAAACAAAAAGAATTCACAAGCTTCATCAATGGATTACACTGTCGATATGGTTAGCCAAATGATTGCGATTTTAATTCCACAGTTCTTGTTTATATGTATATATTTTGTTTCATCTTATTAAGAATTGTTGTTTAAATTCTTATGTAGAGCTGTGTGATGAAAGTGAACAGAAGCTGCGAGCTTTGTCGGCAAAAAGTGACAGAAGTCATGCATTGTGTCAACGGTACGTACGTGTCTTAACGTTTTGTTGATGATTCTTTGTTGATGAATAATGCAAAAATTTCCAAATATTATGACAGGAGTATACTCTGTGGATTTTGTCGGAGACGACAACTCAATGAAACTAAAGGCGAGGGTAAACCCTAATATATTGTTGGCGGTTATTGAACGGTACGGCGAACATGGAAAGATCACCAATCTCCGTTTCGACGGAGAAGTTATGACTCCACGTGGCGGAGGCGGGGGCTATTACGGTCAATCAGGCTATTACCTTCCTTCCTGCACCGCCGGTAGTTATTATCCAAATTCTTCGTATTCGTATCCCCCTCCTCCGCCGTATGCTTTTACCGGAAACTATGCTCACCCTACGGCGGATCATGCACCACGGAACCCGCATACAACACCTCCGTCGTATACTCTGCCTCCGCCAGCGCCAAGACCGTTGTATAGTTTCTCTTACGTAGAACCGCAGTATCGGACGTCGAGTTCGTCGGGTAGAGGGCGTTGTGTGATCATGTGATGCACCCGACTCTGAACTATCTTGTTGATGTAGATGATAATCTTCTTGTACGTTTTGGTTCATATTCTTGATCGCTGCTTATTTAAAAAGCGACTGCGTGGATTCTCAACTTTTTCTTTGTTTTTGTTTTCAAGAAATAACCTAAACTAACACACACAAATTTGTGGACTAATGGACTAGATACTAGAGCTTGTCCAATTTTATGCAAGTCCTTAAGACACATCTTTTCTATAGTTTTAAGTAAAATAAGTATAATGTTCATTATAGATTTGTTCATTATAGATTTCTATTTATCATATTCAACATAGATAGATTGTACCAAATGTTGATGATTGATTGATGAATTTGTTCTCTCGCGAGACAAAGCAAACAAAATTTATTTATATTCTTCTATTGAACATGGTGCAATGGCCTCATAGACCAATGCAGGCTGGCACCACACTGAGCATAACAGTTTTCTCGGCCATTTAGCAAGATGTCAACTTCTTTTTTCTTATTTCTTTAACTGATTTTCGGTTGGAGTAAAGGGACGGAAAAGTTCATGGGATGGATATACACAACAATATATTTGATCATGTGATTCATCCGAAACTTAAAGTATGACTGAACAAAGAAACCTTGAAATCGATGATCATATGACCCAAAAGAATAACATTTTGATTGGATAGTAGTACTAGTATTAGTATAGACATTTAACACTAGTTAATCTTTATAGATACAATTTGTAACACAAATTAATCTGACAAGGTAGAATAGTGAGATGAGTTGATGGAATATGATTGTTGGGTCCATGAACCTCCCCGTACAAAACTACCTAGAGGACCCAGTGACACAAAGTTCTGATTCAAAGTTGACCGCTCATTCTCTCATCGTTTTTTTGCCTTTCCTCATTGTCACCATAATCTTTAGGAGCAATAAAAGAAAGACAAAACAAAAGTAGAGAACAAATAGTTATAATTTTAGAGAGGTCGTGGTTCATACCATAGTTTCCTTTCCTTTTACATACTCGAAAACAATTACATTTTATTTGCCAATTACACTCCACTGTTCCATATATACTCAAACAACAGCATCCTGAACGCATCATCTTTTCCCACAACAATACTGATTTTGTTTTAGACTACTTTACTCGTGTAACACGTACCCTTACGTTTCTCGTTCTCATCGGCAATTCACGAAAATATTGTTGTATATAGTTTTTTTTTTTTGACTTTAGCTTTGAACATTATTGAGCATATAGTACTGTATATGTGGTTTAATCAAATTTCCTCTCAATAGGACTTGGACCCACTTAATATTTGTTATAACTTGATTTTTTCTTCATTGATTGAGTTTACTGTTCCTTCTCCATGTCTTTCGGTTTTACTTTATTTTTATTTTGGTTTTTAATTTTGGATTTTTGGTATGTATGTATGTTTGTGTGTAAATAGCTCCATGATTGATCCATACACTACCATTCATTTCAATTGTTGTTAGGTATTTATTATGCCTTTTTGTTTTAATTAATATTTTGTTGAATCTGTTGTACCCCGTTGCAACCGTACGTTATAAATCTTAGTTCTTAGATGGTCGCCCAAATTGAAAACTATCGATCGAAATCGAATTGATATAGACTAAACATGCATATATATAAGGTCATTTGTTAAGAATGCTAATTACATGCCAAACATGCATGTTGTTGTTGCAATCAAAGCCTGATATTGATATATCAATACTATATAATATGGAATCATATATAAAGGTGAGACCATATTATTTATGTGAACGTGAGTGGACATGTATCGTTTGGTCAAAATCGTATAGTCGTCCCTGTTTCAATGGATCTTTCGCACTCAGTCATTTTCTTAAACTAATAGTTAACCAAGAAAATTTACAATTGTTTGTAATAATAATTACCCACAGAGTACCGAATCTTCATTGACCATTCACTTCAAGTCTTCAACTATCTCATTCCTGTTTGATACATATAACATTATTAAACTCTTCTTTCTAGTTTGATGTTTTTTGTTTTGTTTTGTTTTGTTTATGGTTTGTCATGTTGATCAATTAAATTAGTCAAATCATATGTTTGCGTTTAAAATATCAAACTCTCGAAAGGACTGGAGAAAATATATTACATTAAATGGAACGTGTGATGCTAATGTAGTTGAACCGGATAGAAAGAAGTGAAAAATGACTAGAAGATTCTAAACAAACTTCACAGTAACTCTTCCCTTTTTAAAAAATATCCCAAATTTAAATATTTATTTTGGAGACTGGTGGTGGATAGGTAGGAGGAGGATCGTGGAAAACTAAAAGAAAAAAAAAACTAAAAGCAGAAGAGAATGTAGAATCTATGGAGTCTTCAAAGCAAACTAAATTGCTTTAAGTTGATAATTGTTGCCACTGTTTGCACATATGGATTGATGGATCATGGGATTAACACATGCACTATACACTATGCATCATTTTGACGTAGCATATATATATACCATTATTATTGCAAAATGAGTCTACTACTAAAAGTCTATTGAAGTTATCATTATAGAGTTCGCTAATAGTATGTAATAATAGAGATAAATGCATATGTACAATTTTACTTTTTACCAGATCCGTATAGCACCATCGTTTGATGTGCAGCAGTGTGCTCGTGATATTTAATCGCATTTCAACGGTTCAAGCTTCGGCTTCATACATTCATGCCAAGTTGGTAACACATAAGAAAAAAAATAACATTTTCAAAATACTTTCATGTTGAAAAGTGATCAGATCAAGAGAATTAAACACATTCTAACAATAATCAACTAGCCAAGAAATCAGAAATGGATTAAGCCATCAGATACATAATTATTTTTTTTTTTTTTTTTTTTTTTTTTTTTTTTTGTAAATGAAAGCACATCATCGTCTCCTACAAAACATAGTGAATTCGAAATATATTCATTTTTTATAGCAATGTATTGCATTGGGACACGTGTGCGTAGACAACATTATTCCCCCGAAACCATCGGGTGCAGACAACGCACCGCTAAAAACATGTAGTACATTAGTCTAGCCTATACAAGTAATAATAATGGAGATCGATATATATATATATATATATATATATATATATAATTGTATGTTTATATATGTGTTTTAGCTAGTGTGTATGGTATATGGATGGTCCACTGCATCGTATTTGATCGTTCTGGATCCCTATTATACATGTTTGTTTCATGAGCTTCAATTTTGCATAATGTATAATTTGAGGGGAAATGTTTTGGAAAAAAAAGTGTAATGCGATAATTATAATTTTATAAAGAGATGCGTTTAGTAGTACAAAGTCTAGAAAACGCTAGTGATGACCTCGCTCTATATGAGCAAAGTTGCATGCAATTTTACTTTAACGAAGCTAATTAAGTAAATAATAAAGAACTCAAACAAGGATTAAATGACGTTTGGCTTCGATTCTAAGCTCTTCCTTCATCTTTCTGATGAACTCATCGAACTTCTTATTCATCTCTTCCTCCGTCGCTGCCAACAACTCTACGTTCTCTTCCTCTTCCTCTTCTTCATTTATAAATCCGTCACGAAGATCCCACTCTTCCTCTCCGTCATCATTATCTGCTAACGAGTCGTCGTTGTCTTCACCTTCTTCGTTCATTTCGGCTTCTTGATGTGTTGTATCGTCATTGTCCTCCTGCACAGTAACTTCCTCCGCAAGGAAGGACTCTGTTCCTCCTCCTCCTATTCCATGATGAACAGAAGAAGAGTAATGCTCTAGCTCTAGTATCGTACCGTAACTCTTGAAATCTCGGTAATCAAAGGATTTATGATCAGTGTTACTAGTCGAGTACTTTGTCTCTACTGGTTTTGAGGCAGTAGCGACCAAACCAGAGCACTTGGCAACAACCATCAAGAGACCATTGCAGAGAAGGAACATGTAGTTCTTATCTACTGCATGTGTTACGAGTTGAATGGTGAATCTATATAAATAGAAGTTGTGGGTTACTAAAAGAGATACAACCCATATCGAGAGTAGTATGAACTTGGTTAAATTCTTCAGAAACTCCGGTTTTATTTGATCCATCTCTCTCTGTCGTCTCTCTGGTTTGTTTTCTTGGTTTTGTGGTGAATTATGAAGAAGATTATAAAGGAAGAAGAATAAGCAAGTTAATTAGAGAGTGTGGTTGTGCAAAGCTTTACACTGAGCGGCTTTTGGTATATATAGAAGAAGAGATTGGGGACAGATGTGCCAATGAGCATCTCTATCCGGGGATGGTTTAACCAAACATGCCCCTTGTTCTTCATCTGCATGCCACGTGTGGAGTATATATAGTTTTCCCAATTATGTGGATCGGAAAAAATAAATTTCAATGTTTATTTTCTAAATTCTTTTGTTGGTTTGTCAACTAATCTATGCTTCCTTTTGGCATATTATTATTTGGCTAGATCTCGGTACAAATTAGTTTTATGATAAAATTATGGAATTAGATGTCTAAATCATCAAAGCTATATAGCTGTATATATGACTTCTATGCAATGTTTAATGGAAAAAGGTATCATGCATGATGATTAATTTGGGGTGTGTGAATAATGAATATTCATATGGTTATGATTGGGACAAGTAGAAGCAGAATACAAACGACTGCAAGGGATGATTGGTCTTTGAATAGTAAGTAAGTGAAGGGGGGGCGTGTGGACAATAATTTTTATAAAATTATGTCATTATTTGTCTCTTTCTTTCTTTCTTTTTTATTGGTTTAAGTCATTTTCTTTTAATTGCATGGCTATCATCATGTTAATTTGTTAGGCTTTGTTGTATATATGTGTTATGTGTATATACATTTTTCTTTTGAAACTGACGATAAGTCATTTTCCGTACTATATGATGATTATTATGGATCAAAACATGTTACATGTAACATAGAATATAACATCAATGCACATGCACAAGTTAAAAAGCACAATAGGTTGTTTCGAAACGTACGTGTATGTGTGTGTGTTAGAGAAAATAACCAACTCTTACTCTGAAAACTCAAAAACTACGAAGATCTACCTTTTTGTTCTTAGGATTTGGAATTGAAACCCTAATAAGTCGTAAGAAGGATCTCCGATTCACAACTTTGGAATTTATAAGACGCAATTATCGAATCCTTTTTTTTTTTGTTCTTCTCTTCTTTTAGATATGAATCAAAAATTATACATATCAAGACATCTACGAAGGGTCTAGGGGAGTCTACTAAACTACTAATGGACTATAGTACTACTATGTTATGGTCCACTGAGTAGACCCGCATGTGTTACTGGATCTTTTCTATTGGGCCGAATGGGTATTAATAATAACCGTAGGCCTTTTTGCTTCATTAACTGGGCTTTGAATTAATAATATCTCATTACTTAAAAAATATACAAAAGAAAAGGTTTTGGATAAAATGGATAACCCTCAGCACGAAGCAGCTGAAGAAGAAACCTCACCCTTGGAACCTTAAGAAGAGGAAGAAGAAGAAGAGAAATCGAATCCTTCCCATGGCGGTCTCTACTGTATCTTCGCTTCTGTTACCATCTTTCGTCATTCCAAGCTCTTCGCCCTCTTCTACCAAACTCAAAGTCTCTCTCCTACAACCTTCGCTGTTTTCGTCTTCTTCTACCCACTGCGGCCTTACTTCCTCCGTCCTTACCAAACCCTCCCTCTCGTCTACCAAGGTCTTCGCAGTTTCCGAAACCTTAGATCCTACTCCTGAAATTCTCGATGAGGTACATTCTCTCTTTTTCCCCACTCTCTGTCTTTCTCCAATTCTTCGATTGTTTCCTGAGATTTTTTTTCTTGTGAAGAAATCATTCGCATTTGATGTAATTCTCTTCATACATTTCGTTTTTCCTGTGTCGGTTTGATTCTCAGGTTCCGAGCTCTTCCTCCATCAGTGTTGACGCAGATAAGGTAAATTCCATTCTTTTAGAGCTCACAACTTGAAATTGACACCCAGATTTTACAGAATACTTTATGCATTGGTGTCTTCTAACTTCTCTGTCCACGTTTGTCAAATCACTAGCCTTTTTGGTTTGCTACGTTTTCACAGCACTATAGAGTCTCCATATGTGTTCTAACTTCTATGTCCGTTGCTGTTTAGAGCTCACTGCTAGAAATTGATAGGAAGATCGTTCCAACGATTTGTTATAGTTGGTGTTTTCTATGTCCATGTTTGTCGAATTTGTGGACTTTTTTTTTTGTCTACTAAGTTTTCACAGCACTCATTTGATTGTATGAAATGCCTTCAAGTATAAATCTTGATCATCTTTAGATAGGGATGCTCTTACTGTATCTCAATAGGATTCCCCATACCATAGTTTTTTTTTGTTTTTTTTTTTGTTTTTGGTGAAGTTGATTTGTTTTTGTGTTAGCAGATGGCGCCAAAGCAAAAGATTAGGATCAAGCTTAGATCATACTGGGTGCCTCTTATCGAGGACTCATGCAAGCAGATACTTGATGCTGCCAGAAATACCAATGCTAAGACGATGGGTCCTGTTCCATTGCCAACCAAGAAGCGTATCTACTGTGTTCTCAAGTCTCCTCACGTTCACAAGGATGCTAGGTTCCATTTCGAAATCCGGACACACCAGCGCATGATAGATATTCTCTACCCGACTGCTCAAACTATCGATTCTTTGATGCAACTTGATCTTCCTGCTGGTGTTGATGTCGAAGTGAAGCTCTGATGAACAAACATAACTCCATTATGGTAACAACAAATTTCTATTTCCTCCTTTTGTATTCGGAATACAGCTCAAACTGATGTGTCTAGTTAGTTGAGTTCTGCTCATACGCTCCAACTGAATCTTGTGTATATACTACTTACCAAGACAGAATCTTCACAAAATTACAATCTTGCTCTTTGACCATCATCAAGAACTTGATGCTTTGTTCTTAACCAAAATGTTTTTCTTCCTCAGAGGTGATGGGCGTTTTGCAATGAATGAATTAGACTGTTTCAGATCAACCACATTGCTAGAGAACTGGTAAGCCTTGTTTTAATATTTTTGAGAGCCTCTGTAATGAAAAAAATGTAAGTTGTATTATCTGGTCCCTAGCAAAGTTGGAATCTTTAGCGATGCTTGGTTCTTAGTTGATGAACATATCTCTTCAATTAAGCAAGTTCAAAAGGAATTTGTTTTTGTTTTACTAATTGTTATGCAGTCGTTGTTATGATGAAATTTGTTTTCTTTACTTGTATTAAAGCTGGAATCTTTCTTTGAATATATAAGTATTGAGTAGAAATAACATGAAACAGACACAACTTGGGAGTTTTTTTTTAGATAACCAGGACGTTGGAATCTTGAAAGCGACGTCATTCTTATAATTATTCAGAAACTCAATAAGGGGGATTATTAGTTTTTTCTTGTCACTAACACATTTGATTTATTAAGTATCCATTTGCTAATAGCGCATCATATATATATGATAAGTAATAAAGAAAAGTGCCATAAGAAGAATCAAACATTATTATTGAGAGAGCATCCCAAGACTAGTCGTCAGGATTAGTCTTCGACACCATCTTAAAAAAGAATGAGTAGAACTAGAAACGATTCTTCTTATTTTGAAGGCAGCTTCATTGTCATTGTCTACATCAAAGTATGCGGGACGTAAGAAGAAAGATAAGGATGGTTAATCGCCTCGTACACTGCAGAAGCTGTAGACGAACCAACATAGTCCACAAGTTACATAAGGACAAATCTTGAGCCAATGAGAGAATGCTTGGACGTAAGAGTCAGTAGTGGTCAAGGGAGATATATGTCACCATTTCTTAGCAGCCCAAATCTAACAATTAAAACATTTTGAAAATACTATAATTTCCCAAGCGTAGGAAAAGATCCAAAAGAAAGAAGAGAACAGATTTTGGGTATTTTAAGTTATCTATATGATTGATGATTCAATATGTCGTTTTTTCCTTATCTGATTTGGAGTATGCGGAAATTTTCAACCCTTAATAAACTAAAACTTGAAGAATATTCTCCCCCACGTATAGTACAATACAACTTTTCGTGATGACTACTTAAAACAGAAATGGCATTAGTAAAGCTAAATTGATTCATTTGGTTTGTGTAGGAGAAGGAAATCATCTCTTTACGACCTAAAAAAAGATAAGAAAAAGAATATATAGTCGCCAAGATTGAATTTAGCAAAGTGGGTGGATGAGACACAGTCAGTCATTCATGTTTTTGGTGTAACTCATAGGCGAAAATTATTATAGTGATCGCTAAAGTTATATAAAAAGGCATATTCCCACGATATACCAAGCAGCTCGGACCGTCCATTTATTATATATATCACAGTAATGTAATTTTATTGAAATAAACTTTGGCATAACGAAGTTGTTTGCCATCCCAAACAAAAGAAACACAGAGAAAGCTATACAAGTATAAATTATAGAAGCATCAAAGCAGAAACATATATTGGATGGGTAGTGGTTTTTCAACACTCGAAGAGACAAATCATTTCAACGGCTGAAACTGAAAGTAAACAAAATCAGATACCCCTTTTTAAGTTTTAAGCCACAAAATATGTATTTTTGAGACTCATCATCGTATTTCATATATAATAATTTGTCGGGTAAATAATTGGAGGGGTCCTCTTCATCATCGATGTGCCCTTTTTTGTTGTTGTTGTATAGTATAGCTTTGCGTTATTACACTATTATTGTTAGTCATACCAAAGGTTTTTTTTAGAAAAGAAAGAAACACCTTTGTGTGGCTGCGTTGGGATGGCATGCAGATGCAGTTACTAAAATAATTTAGTAGTAAGTTTAGTAGTCACTACTTATAATATCATCAGTTCTGTTTAACCTATGTATAAAGCTGCATGCGAATTAAGTCATGTTTAAGTGAAAGAAGATTATCGAACAAAAAAAAAAGCAAGAAAAGAGATTTTTTTAATAAGATAATCAGTTATTGATTGGAGAGAGAGAGAGAGAGTAGTTAGAGTGAGAGATGATTAAAGATTGAACAACAAAACCTAAATTGGCTTGAAAATAGGAAGACAAGAAGAAGAAGACGATGCCTTCACGGATCTCTTTACACACAAAAATTAAGTTATGTCATTACTCACGTCACTCATGAAAAAATGGCAGATTTTTTAAATTGACATTTTTGACAATTATCCTTTAAATCTAAACTACTTCTATCGCATTGCACTTGCATACATATATTCATTCCAACATCCAAATAATTTAAATTATTTTATTTTCTTTGAATTAGTTGTTAATTTTGTTAACCAAAAAAAAAAGAAGTTTACATTTTTTTGTCGTCGTTACAATTTTTTTATGACAGAAAAAGAATAATAAAAAAATAGGGTGGATGGTAACGAAAAAGTAGGTGTCACAAAATAAAACATGTGGTGTTTTTTTATATTCTTTAACGACCCAAACAAGGTCACGAGTAGGGAAATATATATAAAAATAGATTGTCCATGCCTTTTTTTTTTAATTTATTTTTGATAACAAGTGAAGAAGAAATCTATGCCATGTTTTTAAAACGATTTTAAAACTAAATACTGTAATAGAGTATTTTGTTTTTGTATTATTACGTACACCAGGTATATTTAGGCATGACCACGGTTACGGTTAATGCGGTTATGGTTAATTAACCACCGGTTAACGGTTATAATTTTTTTAACTATAACCTTAATCATTATATATACGGTTAAGACGGTTACGGTTATATACGGTTACGGTTAATTACGGTTACAGTTAAATACGGCTACGGTTATTTGATGATTATTATAATATTAATATTGGAGATAAAATTTTATGAAATATTATTTATTTTACAAGTAAAAAATATATCTGATTTCAATTATTTATAGTGAATTAGTTAAATCTGGGTATTGTATACAGTTATAATATAATTTATTTTAAAAATTTAAATATGCGGTTAACCGAGCGTTTAACCGTACGGTTAACCGACGATTAATTATGGTTACGGTTAATTAACGGTTACGGTTATTATTATTTTTTAACCGTAACTAATTTACTTTTACGGTTAACGGTTACAATTTTTAACCGTTTTATACGGTTACGGTCCGGTTACGGTTGATAAACGATTCGGTTACGGTTAAAAATACGGTTAAGGTTAGCTTTTGTTCATGCCTAGGTATATTGACCACCTATAAAATTTAACTTTAGATTTTCTTATTACATGTATGCAATTTATCTTAAGGAAAGAAAAACAATATCTTTCTTTAATAATTCTTCTTTTTCTTTTCTTTTTTCAATACCTAACGATTAATTTAACAAAAATAAAAATAAAATACCAAACGATTAAATTACATGAAATGATTGAAAAAAAGAGAGAGAGAGAGAGTATATTATATTATACGAAAAAGGAATAAACACTATATTATATATATATATATATATATAATATCATAAAAATTTTGTAAAAATACACAGTATAGTATTGCCACCTAGTCTCTCCACTCCCAGTGGGCAGTGTTCACAGTAAAAATCATTTTAATTCAAATAATTAGAAAACATAGCTTTTGAAATTTCTTAGTATTTTTTAAAAGGAAACAAATCTGAAAGGAGAGAGAGAGAGGGAGTAAAGGCAAAGAATCAGCAAAAAAAAAAAAAAGAAAGATATAAACATCCTTCCGTTTTGGAAATGTTGCCGGTCACAAGTCGCCGCCACTTCTCATTGTCCCTATATATGCTCCGTTCATCTTCACCACACATCCATCGCCACTCTTCCTCTTTCCTTGTCCCTTCTTTTGTTTCCTCCACTTTCTCTCCTGTCCTAGAACGACGTTCCTCATCTCCTCCTCCTCCTCCTCCAATGGCTGCGTGCATCGACACCTGCCGTACTGGTAAACCACCACCCCAGATCTCTCCCCGCGATTCCTCCAGCTCTCACGGTGACGACTCTGGCTTCCGTTACATTAATTACTTCCGCTCCTCTGGTTATCCCGACCGAGCTTCCTTCAACGGAACCCAGACCAGAACCCTTCACACCCGTCCTTTGGTTGAAGATCTCGACCGCGACGCTGAAATCGACGACGTTTGGTCCAAGATTCGCGAAGAAGCTAAATCCGACATCGAGAGAGAACCTATTGTCTCCGGCTATTATCACGCTTCCATTGTCTCTCAGCGATCCTTGGAAGCCGCGTTGGCCAATACCTTATCTGTTAAACTCAGCAACTTGAATCTTCCGAGCAACACCCTTTTCGATTTGTTCTCCGGTGTTCTTCATGACAACCCTGAGATTGTTGAATCCGTGAAGCAAGATCTGTTGGCTGTTAAGGAGAGAGATCCTGCTTGTATTAGCTACGTTCATTGTTTCCTTCACTTTAAGGGCTTCCTCGCTTGCCAAGCGCACCGAATTGCTCATGAGCTTTGGACCCAGGACCGAAAGATCCTTGCTTTGTTGATTCAGAACAGAGTTTCGGAAGCCTTCGCCGTTGATTTCCACCCTGGAGCTAAAATCGGAACTGGGATTTTGCTTGACCACGCTACAGCCATCGTGATCGGCGAGACGGCGGTTGTTGGGAACAACGTTTCCATCCTTCACAACGTTACGCTTGGAGGAACGGGGAAACAGTGTGGAGATAGGCACCCCAAGATTGGTGATGGGGTCTTGATTGGAGCTGGGACTTGTATTTTGGGGAATATCACGATTGGTGAGGGGGCTAGGATCGGTGCTGGATCCGTGGTGCTGAAGGACGTTCCGCCACGTACGACGGCTGTTGGAAATCCGGCGAGATTGCTTGGTGGTAAAGATAACCCGAAAACGCACGACAAGATTCCTGGTTTGACTATGGACCAGACATCGCATATATCCGAGTGGTCGGATTATGTAATCTGAAAAAAGTCTTTGCCTTTTTTTATTTATTGTTGTTAATGGCTTTTCTCTCGGCTTCTCCTGTTATTGAAGCTGGAGAACTTATGATATGCGATGCTGTTTCCATAATCAGATCATTTGTCTCTATAAGTTGACTGATTAAGATGGGATTTGAAAGTAAAACTCGGAAACTCTTAACTCTGTTTAGTGGAGTTTCCTGTGGTTGGTTTCTGATTAGCAGAGACTTTAAGATATGTTCAGTATGTAAGTGTTATTTGGCTAAACAATGATTTCTGTTATCAGACCTGTTGGGAATAACCCAAAGATTCATCAGTTTCTTTGAGTGTTGTTTTGCTAACTACAGCTTTCTAGGAAATGACAACAAGAACAGTCAAGATCCAGGATTGCTTGCTACAATCAATTAAAACTCTACCCATTCTTCTGTAAGTGTCATCTGTTTCTGTTGAAAATTGTTGAGGCAGTCCCTCATGATGCTGTTTAGGTAGAAATCCTACCGTAGGATCGATATTTCCATGAAAATCAGAGGTCTTGGTCTTTTCTGCTTGTTTCCGGGAAGTTTCAAAAAATATTCTGTTCAGAAAATTCACTAGAGTTTCCGCGAGTTGATGGGTGGACGTTGTTGAGACGTCAAGGAATTATAATTTATTCCCACTAAAGAATTTGTCTTCCAAATAATATATATATTGACGAGTTTTCTATATATAATGTCCATCGTGACAGACTTGAGCAATTATTCTCGTATCCATTGCCTAATGAAACAGAGTTATGCAATGGACAATACTATCGATTTTTTCATCCTCGAGTCCAATTACTTTCCATTGTTCTCCATTCTCTTAAATCTGCTTTTGCTGCTTGTTATGGTTGGTTCCTGTGTTTACAAGAAAGGGGTGGAAAATAGTGATGGTTTCACCAGTGAGAGGTTTAAGGATATGTCTTTAGCATACAATAAACTGGTCGTTATATGTTGTGAGACTTTTTCTGCCTTGAATTCTGTGTTGTTGCTGTTAAGTTGCTTCCACCTGCATACAAATGATTGGGATCGCAGCAAGCTGATGAATATCTTAGATCTTCTATTTACAGCCCTTTCTTTTGGTGCCATCTCTTTCTACCTACGTAGTTTGTCCACCAATTCCCAAAATCAAAAGTTTCCTGTTTTGCTTAGAGTCTGGTGGGTCTTTTATTTTATGTTTTCTTGCTACCGTCTTTTGGTAGACATTTCTCTATACAAGAAGCAAGAACTGGCGTCAGTTCACCTTTTATGGTCTGATGTAGTGGCCGTTAGTATGGGGTTGTTCCTCTGCTATTCATGTTTGCAGAAGTTAGGAGAAGGTGAAAGGAGCAACTTACTCGAAGAACCCTTCTTGAATGAAGGTGAATCTAGTGCAGCTACTAGTGTGCAGTTGGGTAAGGCAGAAGGTGATGAGGTTGTTACACCTTTTTCGAACGCTGGGTTTCTAAGCCATGTAAGTTTCTCTTGGATGAGTCCTTTGATTGTCTTAGGAAACGAGAAAATCATAGACAGCGAGGATGTTCCTCAAGTTGACAATAGTGACAGAGCTGAGAAACTATTTGGGATACTTAGGAGTAAGCTTGAATGGGACAATGGTGAAAGAAGAATCACCAGGTTTAAGCTTATTAAGGCACTCTTCTTTTCAGTATGGCGAGATATTCTCTTGTCAACTCTGTTTGCTTTTCTCTACACGATCTCTTGCTACGTTGCACCGTATCTCATGGATACTTTCGTTCAGTACCTGAACGGCCGAAGACAATATACAAACGAAGGGTTTGCTTTAGTGACAACTTTTTTTGTTGCTAAGCTCGTAGAATGCCAAGCACGGAGGAATTGGTACTTCAGGTTGCAGAAAGCTGGGATTGGAATGAGATCGGTCCTGGTTTCGATGATCTACGAAAAGAGTTTGACCCTTCCCTGTTATTCAATGAAAGGACACAGTAGTGGTGAGATCATAAATCTCATGACAGTAGATGCTGAGAGAATCAGTGCTTTTGGTTGGTATATGCATGATCCATGGATACTTGTCTTACAAATCAGTTTAGCCTTACTGATCTTATACAGAAGCCTTGGGATAGGATCCATCGCAGCTTTTGCTGCAACTTTTTTGGTTATGCTGGGAAATATTCCCTTGGCAAAGTTGGAAGAGAAGTTTCAGGGAAATTTAATGGAGTCTAAAGATAACCGGATGAAGAAAACATCGGAGGTCTTACTGAACATGAGGATTCTTAAACTTCAGGGATGGGAGATGAAGTTCCTTCATAAGATTCTTGACCTTAGACGCATTGAAGCAGGGTGGCTTAAGAAATTCGTGTATAACTCGGCAGCTATCAGCTCTGTTCTATGGGCTGCACCTTCTTTTGTTTCCGCAACGGCTTTTGGCACTTGTATGCTTCTGAAGATTCCTCTTGAATCTGGAAAGATAATAGCTGCTCTTGCCACTTTTCGAATTCTGCAAAATCCGATATACAAACTTCCTGATACAATCTCAATGATTGTTCAGACAAAGGTATCTCTTGATAGGATTGCATCTTTCCTTTGTCTTGATGATTTGCAGCAAGATGGTGTGCAGAAAATTCCTTGTGGAAGTTCAAAAATGGCTGTAGAAATTAGCAATGGGGATTTCTCTTGGGATGACTCTTCTACCAGCCCGACGCTGAGAGACATAAGTTTCAAAATTTCTCATGGGATGAATATTGCTATTTGCGGCACTGTTGGTTCTGGGAAATCAAGCTTACTCTCGTCCATACTGGGTGAAGTTCCCAAAATATCTGGAAATCTTAAGGTTTGTGGAAGAAAGGCATACATTGCACAGTCGCCATGGATCCAGAGCGGCAAGGTCGAAGAGAACATTCTGTTTGGTAAGCCAATGCAAAGAGAATGGTACCAAATGGTGCTTGAAGCGTGTTCTTTGAATATGGACTTGGAGGTACTTCCGTTCCGTGATCAGACGGTTATTGGGGAAAGAGGTATCAATCTAAGCGGTGGACAGAAGCAACGGGTACAGATTGCACGTGCTCTATACCAAGACGCAGATATCTATCTGTTTGATGACCCTTTTAGTGCAGTAGACGCTCATACTGGATCACATCTCTTCAAGGTAACAATCATTTTCTTTACTTTCTGATTATTTTGATTTGAAGTACATATACTCTTATCTTCTACTCTGCGCTGGCTTCTGCTATGTATTTTGATTTGATCTCTCACGCGCATCGTTTTCTGTAACAGGAAGTCCTGCTGGGGCTTCTGAGAAACAAGACAGTCATATACGTCACTCATCAACTTGAATTCTTGCCTGAAGCTGATCTTATACTGGTTTGGACTTGTTCGCTCTACCGTTTCCAATGCATTAGCTAATCACAAATTTTATGATATCAGATAATCATTTTGGTAGGTCATGAAAGATGGGAAGATCACACAGGCGGGAAAGTACAATGAAATTCTTGAGTCAGGATCCGATTTCATGGAACTTGTAGGAGCTCACACTGATGCCTTAGCAGCAGTTGATTCATATGAAAAAGGATCTGCTCCAGTACAATTAACTATAAGCAAAGATAACAAAGTTTCCAACGAAGAAGAAAAACATGAGGAAGATTTGCCGCCTAACCCGAAAGGACAACTAGTTCAAGAAGAAGAGCGAGAGCAAGGAAAAGTTGGGTTCAATGTATACAAAAAGTATATGACACTGGCGTATGGAGGAGCACTTGTGCCTATTATATTGATTGTACAGATTCTCTTTCAGATTTTAAACATAGGGAGCAACTATTGGATGGCTTGGGTAACTCCTGTTTCTAAGGATGCGAAACCTCTAGTAAGTGGCTCTACATTGATTCTAGTCTATGTAGTTCTAGCCACTGCGAGCTCCTTCTGCATACTTGTCAGAGCAATGCTGGCTGCGATGTCTGGTTTCAAGATAGCTACTGAACTCTTCAATCAAATGCATCTTTGTATTTTTCGTGCCTCCATGTCATTCTTTGATGCTACACCAATCGGCCGAATTCTAAATAGAGTAAGAAATATCTTTGCTTACTCACTCGATGTATAATGACGATACCAAAAAATTATCCTGCAAAATCCTTTTCTGATCACTGTTGTTTCCATCCTGATTTAGGCTTCTACAGACCAAAGTGCCGTGGATTTGAGATTACCAAGTCAATTTTCAATTCTTGCTATCACCGTTGTAAACATTTTGGGGATTATTGGAGTGATGGGACAGATTGCTTGGCAGGTCCTTATTGTGTTCATCCCTGTCATCGCTGCATGTGCTTGGTATCGGGTACTCTTCATAACACCAACACACTTGGATTATAACGCTTAGCTTGATACTTTGGCTTATATAACTCTTGGAATCATAATAAGATTATGAAAATTGTAATATAGGTTAAGGAGACTTCATGTGATCATTGATACAACTCGTACTAACTTTCTCGAGGTTCTCACCTAAGTTTTAATATTAATTTAACATATGGATGCAGCAATATTACATATCTGCGGCTCGGGAACTCGCAAGATTATCTGGAATCAGCAGATCGCCTTTGGTGCAGCATTTTTCTGAAACACTTTCAGGGATAACAACTATCAGGAGCTTTGATCAAGAACCAAGGTTCCGCGACGACATCATGAGACTCAATGATTGTTATTCTCGGCTGAGGTTCCATGCCATTTCGGCAATGGAGTGGCTCTGCTTCCGTCTTGATCTCTTATCTACTTTAGCATTTGCGATTTCGCTTGTTATCTTAGTTTCTGTCCCCAAAGGCGTCATTAATCCAAGTAAGTCACCGCCCTTTAATCAATGTTTTTGTTTTGGTTCAGACTCACTAAAAAGCTTCTGCGTCGTTCTTGGCATTGTGCTTCTTAAAGGCTTTGCAGGATTGGCGGTTACATATGCACTCAATCTAAATAGCCTACAAGCAACTTTAATATGGACACTTTGTGATCTTGAGAATAAAATGATATCCGTGGAGAGAATGCTTCAATACATACACATCCCCAGTGAACCATCACTCGTTATTGAATCAACTCGGCCTGAGAAATCTTGGCCCCGTCATGGAGAGATTACTATCTGTAATCTGCATGTACGATATGGGCCACATTTGCCTATGGTGCTGCGTGGTTTGACATGCACTTTTCCAGGAGGCCTGAAAACAGGAATCGTTGGAAGAACTGGATGTGGCAAATCCACTCTAATTCAAACCCTCTTTAGGATTGTGGAACCTTCTTCGGGAGAAATCAGGATTGACGGAATAAACATCTTGACCATGGGGCTGCATGACCTGCGTTCCAGACTAAGTATCATACCTCA